AACCAAAACAAGGCATCATCATCAAAACAGTAAAAATAAAATAACAAAAATCGCTGAGAACAAAAGCAAAAACAAAATCAAAAACGAAACTCAGAAAAAAGGAAAAATTGTCTTTTCCGTTGAATTGTCGTCTTCAGAATAAACAAACCTGCAGAGATTCATATTGCTCAGTCGGTAGGTGAGCAATATGATAGCAATATTATGTTTTCCCTGGAGACCCATCCAACTATTCAGAGGTTTCAGCATGAACTCAGAGTTTTCTGGAAGATTCCAGCTACTCATCGATGTAGCAACAAACCTTATTACATGGCTTTTTAACTCCCCTAAGTTTTGCCCCTGCCTTCAGATAAAATAATCGAAGAGTTGAAATAATAAAATTTACATTGAATAAGAGAGATGGTAAGTTTTGGGATCGGTGAAGAAATAGAGAAACATGTTTTTGTCGTACAGTCACGAGTGTGAAACAAAGAAAACATTCTGAGTCCCCATAAGGAATCGAACGTAAGAGCCTTCGGATTCCGCGCTCCGATGCCCTACCATTGAGCCACAGAGACTCTAAAGTGAGCGATATTCATAACGAAGTTCGTATAGGACACGCCTCCTGCGTTTCTGCTCGGAATCTGGAGGTCTGAAATTCGATTCCTCATGGAGACTCTCACGCTCGTGACAAGACGAAATAAATCATTCTCTAGATTTATATTGGATACAAGGCGGAATATTAAATTTTAACAGTGAAAGGTCTGCAAGATTTAGTGCTTTTCCCAAAATAAATATATCAACGATTATGGTTGAGGACTGCACTGACTCAATTAAAATTGATGAATCGATCCTCTCAGGGGCCTGTGTTGCAGATATACATCTAGCACCACTCAAATAATCAATTAGATTGCACATTTTCATGCTGATAAACAGATACATGCCCTTGACTGGCTCCTTTAAATCAATTTCTTGGCAAAGACAAGACGAAAATATTTCCTTCATGGAAAATTACCCACGAAATGGTATGATATTTGTTAATGAGTCGGCAAATATTATAAAAATCATACCAAACAAAAGGTTTTTCACTCGGGAAATGTAAAATAACCACATACAACTTATCCTGCCTCTTTCCACTTAAACGACCCTCATTCAGCGATTTTTCCATGTAGAATGGCATACTCTACAATAAATTATAAGTGGAAGAAGGATTGTATAAGTTTATCCAACAATATGCAGGTCACATCTAACGGTCTAGGAAGTTAGATTCGTTATGTCATTAGCAAAAGTAAAACTAAAATTGGAGAATAACCCTTCTCGGCCAAATGTGTATAACTGCTGCCAGAAAACTATCCAATCCGAGAGGTAGCCTCAGATTCTGTGCCATCCCATTCGTTCAACTCATTACCTAGTATCTTCATCTGTAGCCAGAGTAGATTGATTGCAAGGGTGTACTCTTACCACAACATGCATTACCATAAAATGCTTAATTGGCCGACATCAAGCGGATAATATTGATATGCTCAAAAGATGTCTTATGTTCTCAAGTTAGCGGAATCCCTGTTGTTAGTTCAGTTTATCTGTGACTAGCTCTTTCTAGCGACCAACCTTCATCTGTGCCTTTTCCACTGTGGTCGCCAGGCTACTGCGCGTCTCTTTAACCTCCTTCATTTCAATCTCTATCTTCTCAGTTGTGTGTCTGAGTTCGTGTCTCATCTTTTCTAGCGAATCTGGAAATGTAAGAGAAATAAGCGCAATTATATAAGCACATTTACGTCACACATTTACGTTTAGGTGTTGATGAAATAATGATCATTTCAGTAGAATCATTTTTAGGAAGGTTCAGTTGTCAAAGTTCATAGACACTGGAGCTAAACAAATTGGTTCATCTACTGCATTGTGAATAACTGTTCCATGCTAAAGATAACTAAATTTCCAGTTTACATAATTGAATAGGACGAACAAATCAAGAGCTAGCCCACCCTGCTGCTTAAACTAAAATTTGTCATTTTTCTAATTTTTGGATTCATCCATACTACCTTCAATTTCTTTAGCTTTCGATCAACTTTGTCTTTAAGCTTTCGTCGTCTTTCCTCCATTGTTTCATCAGGTTCTAATAATGCTTCTCGACAATCGGATCCATGTAGTCGTGTTCAAGATCGTCGATTTAAGTTCTAAAATGAGATCTTCCCAGTCTCACCAAAGCTTCTCCTATATCCTGCCAATAAGCACTGAAACTACTGTCATCCACAGAGGCTTGAGAAAAATGGCCGTATACAATATAGTAGTAGTCCGAGCAGCCGACAAGACAAAGCGCGAGTCAAGAGTTTAATTAACGACCAGTTTTTGGTATATTTAGAGAAATAAACTTATTTTTTGGTATTTGTGGTAAAGGTTTGTTATTGAAAGTACCCGACCATCAGACCCAGATATTAATATGATAAGGGACGGTCAAGTAAGACGGTCCGACCAAAGGTTATTCAAAAATGAGCGTTCGGTTAAATTTAAAATAAAATGGGTCTGCTTGGCGTGCAAACGAATGCTTTATCAAGTCTGGGAAAACTCACGTCAACAAAATACTATTTCTCCACTAACGATCTTTTTCTGTTGACATCTTATGGCAAACAAGCACACATACACCTGTAAAATGAGGAATCGATCGAGCACCGTGCAGAGAAGAGTACGACGCATAAATTATAAGTGATTATGCAATCGGAACCATGTAATTACTCAGTAGTTGACACGCAAGATACGGCTTCGTCGAACTGCGTTAGCCTTTAGTTTCAATTTTCAGCAATCATCAAGAGTGACTTTTAACCAACAACAGACTGCAGCAAGACTATCAAAGCACCCAGTGACTGGGTACGATAGTTGAGTAGAAATCCGCCTCGCTAAATTACACTTGGCCATTTGTTGTTCAACTTGCACCACTTTTTAACACAATATTCATCTCTTGAATTTTAAGAATGCCAGGTTGTGAAAATGGTAACAATAAGGGGAAGATAAATTGAATGCGTAATAACTATCATTACCAGTGTGGTTGCCGGTGATTACCAACAAAAATTACCAAAATCCCGGTTTTGGATCCCGGGATGGAGTTTCTCGAGGTTGTTGTGGCGCTTGAACTGAAGGAGTTAAGATTTCATTTCGGCGACGTGTGTTAAAACGTTGCCGTTCTGTTGAATTCAAAGTAAAAACGTGACTAAATAGCTGTCGAGGTTTCATTGCTAAGAGGGCGTAAAAGTTATAGTTCTATATGGGACGGCTGGGAAATTTACAATGCTTTAAAACACACGTGTTTCGCTATTGTTTTGCTCATGCGATCTCTTTAATTTATCATTATTGCAGATTCACCCCACTAGATTACAAATAGACAAGAAATTAAATTTATCACCACAACAAAGAGACGTTGTGGAGAAGGAGACAACCAAAAGCGCCCAAAGGGATGTCTTACTAATTAAGTCGTAAGAAAAGTACATACAATTATATAAAAATAAAAGTTATTATTCTTAATAAATTTAAAACATTCTTTTTCAAAGCTGCAATACCATTTGATTCTCTGGTATGGTTAGGTAAACTATTCCATTCATTCATTAGCTCAGATCCAAGTCCCGGAAAGATATTGGAAATCGCTATGCAGTTGCATAAGGAGCTGGTCAAATCTGATTTTGTACGACAAATGATGTTTGGTGAAATATCCAAGTCCCTGTTCATAACCGTTGACATTGTTATTGTTTGATTCATAACTGGATTCCGAAAGAAAAGTTGCTGTTAATTTCTAATAAACCTTGAGGAAACCAATGTCGATAAACGAGGCACAACGCACGAAAAATCTCGCATAAGCGAGAACTGGAACTGGAACTGCACATGCGAGAGACGAGGAGCGCGTTGCAAGACACGAGAAGGCACGCAAGAAGCTAAATATGACTCCATGACTGTCTTAAGGGTTTATAGTATAGTTATGACTGTAGTTACGGCGTTAGGTTGGGTTATCGCTGTAAATGCTCTGAAATCCTGTTTGAAGTTGAACATAAAGAAGAGAAATTTAATCGTTATGAAACTTGGCATCAGTTGGACCAGAAAAAGGCTGCGGCCTAACCTCCAGCGAAGTACCATTATTTGGAACGTTTCCAACTCACTCAGTCCAGACTGGAGTCTTGAAACCTTGAAATCTCGATTTTCTCATTTTAAATTTTAATCAGACGGACTTCTGCAATCTATCTCAATTATCGACTGCCCTCTAAATGTAGGGAAAAGGCATACTACTGTAAGTGCTGTTTATTCCATGCATTGCTGAGATCATGGTGCTATAGAGCCTAAAGAAATATTCTGATCGCACAGTGTGATTTAAACCGTGATTGAATGTGCTATTGTTTCATTGTATAAAAATTACCTCGATTACGTTTTAAAAGTATTGATGTATGAAGAATACTCTGAATAGCTCGCTAATTTACTACAATTGTACATAGTTTTCATTCAGTTATACATACAGATGGTACGTGGCAATAAAATCTTTTTGTCGGTCCATTAAAAGAAAGAGTAATCGAGTTCATGTTTCGAGCCCCTCTAAATGAAGTTTCATATTGGTGATAGTGTTTTGTTTCCCGAAGACATGTGCACTTTTGTATAGTTACGATAACTTCTCGCGGTGTAATGTTTTTTCTTTAAACCCCTTGTCATTTGGGTTGTTTTTCTTTTCATGTGATACATTGGAAAACTAATATAATAGAACCTCTGAAATTAAATCTAAGCTTTTGAAGTTCACATTGGATAAATAAGACTGAAGGAAACTCTAGTTGGCCAATTTGCATCAATGGTCTGTATGCCTATGTAGTCATTCTGCAAGGCTGGGCTTTTCACAAGGGCCGATCAAAGTAACTGTAAGGGCTTGCCATTTTAACCTGGAAACACAAAAATCAGAACACTGTGATTAAACGGCAAGGTAGAAGATTGAGGGCCCTAGGTCAAAAATATCACTATAAGACAAAAATTACATTTAGTTGGAGTAATGTATTGCGCTGTACCTTGCACGGGTTGAAGGCTGACATAGTGCACCTCATGAATATGTCCCAGCACAAGAGGTTTGCTTTCGTCAGCTGGAAAATGTGGCGTAATGACTACATCATTGCTATTGGATAGACTGCTGACAACACGAATGCACGTTTCAAAGTAGTTTGCTGCGGCCCACAGAATCACGTGATCACCCCAAGCGCCATCTTGTTCCATGCATACGAGGTATTCAGTCCATGTTTGATGTCCATGGACGAAGTGAAACAGATCTGTTCCATCCGGCTGTAAGAAAGATCAGCGAAAGAAGGAAAATTAAAAGGATTGTTGATAGGAACTTGAGCGCGTGAAGTACGAGTCAGGGAGTAATTTTGTCGGAATGGTACGAGACGACCGTTAATTGGCAATTTACTGAATAGTAACAAATTTGAGGATTGAACCGTCTTTCAATACCTCCGTGTATATTCCAAAGATTTTGTAAACAACAGGAAAACAATAAGAGAGATCCATCATTGAGAGAATGACTATAATTTTGTTATCTGATGTAGGTTTCAAGGAACTTTTATGAAACTGAAATATCCAAATGACTTAAAACCGTGGAAGCCTCCTTCTTCGGACACCACACTAAGTGATGGATTAATTTCACTTTAACCAACATCACTGTGTGGCTTCTTCAATAATAAACTAAAATCTTTTAAGTTCCCCTTTCAACCAGGGGTACCAGCTAGTATCAGAGCTCCTGGAAAAGGACAATAACAGTACTTCTGGCCACTTCACGTTGTGAACACTGGGATAGGTTCTAGTAGTGTAAGTCAAGTGGCCTGTTTTATCACTAAACCTTTATCGTACTCCTTATAATAACATCACGTGACAAACTCTGTTAGAAATACATACATCAACTTACAAGTTTTGGGTTACTCCTGAGGTACTGGACTAAGTTCTGTCTTAATTCGCCATGTGGGATTTTGATTCCCTTAACAATTTCCAGTTGTTCGGACAAGGCAAAGAATATGCAATTTCCTAATCCTTCATTGTCAGATATTCTGAAACCCCTGTCGGATGCAATATTCCTCAGCCCCAATGATAGATCTGTTCTGCTCTTGACTTTGCTTGCATCGAGTTGTATCTGCTGAAGTTCCTGAATGATTCGGTCGAGAGAACCTAGAAAAGACAAGGTTTTTATTAATCTAAATGCATGAAAAAAGGGAAACCATCGTCTAGTAGAAAACAATCCTCAACCTACTAAGAGAAACTTTGAGGTAAAAAGGAAAAGAAGTGCTTCAACCACCAGACTACCGCTGTTTTCTCCAACAACTCAGCCTTAAAAAGGATGCTCCAGCTGTCAATTAAGTAACTTTTTAAGTTCGATATCTGCTCGTGAATGAATACACTGATAATTAAAAGAGAAGAAGCAGAGAAGAAAAATTAACGACGAAGTCTGTTCTCTGACAGATCCGAGTAACTGGAAAAAGGAGTCCAAGAAAAAAATTACAGGCTTCAAAAAATGAACTGATGTATTTTTTCTATCTTATGAATATGTAGTTACTTCAACATTGCGTCGAAAGACAATTGTATTGTGGATAGAACATAGACCGGTTTTGATAGTAACAGCATTTAAACTTTAGTTTCGTTTTGAGACAAAGCAAAAGAATGCCCCAAGTCTACCTGTTTCGGGCAATCTAGGGTAGTTTCTAATTAAAATTGGATGAAAACTTCAAATGACTAAAAGAAATAAATAACACTAAGCCAATCTGTCTGGATCAGAAAGTAAAGAGAAAATCAAATGCACCGAAGAGTGCAGGGGTATAAATAAAAAAATGCGTCATTCGTAAGAAACATGATCAACAGTACTTCACAAAGTTTTCACGGAGCATAGCTGGCCTGAAGTCGAACGTAAAGGAAAGGAAACTGTTAAAGCTCCTTGCAACCTGCCTGTACTTCTTTGGGGATGTCAATTATCGTGTGTTATCACTATTTTATTACTCACTTGGGGTCATTGATGAATCAACTGTTAGGTCTTCGGTTGACGTGTCAACAACTTCGACCTGCCGAGTTTTGAAACCTGTGTCTCGTCTTTTAGAAGCTAAAAAGATAGAAAGCAACTTTTGTTTAATATCACAGCAATCAACAAGAGGATAACACAACTGATTACTATTCATGTTTAACATATTTTTTATATGAAGTATTCATGCTTTCCATCACAGTAAATGAGAGGCGGAGTAAGCCGAGTAGCCCCCTAAAACACTTTTTGAAGGACATTCAAAAAACATTCTCACCATGAACTATGTCCCTCATCTTCTCCAAGAGAATGTCACACTGTTTCTCCCAACTAAACTTCTCCTCATAGGAGCTCCTTAGTTGCTGAATATCTTGAAGTCGAACCGATCTTTCCCTCTGTTGGATGCCAGCAATTGCCTTTGCCCACTCCCCAGGGTCCTCAGACTCCACCACGAATGATTTGCCTGATGGTACGGTGCACAGTGCTTCACCAAATCCTGAGTTGCCACTGACAAGAATGGGAAGACCAGCAGATAACGCTTCTAACGCCGTCAAACCAAAACCCTCTGTTCTGGAGGGCATGATGCAGAGATCAACTTCACAAAATAATTCTTTCAATTTCTCTTTGCTTTGAACGAACTTTCTCACGATCAGCTGGCTTTTATTAATTCCACTCTTCAGCAAATTTGCTTTAACCTCATCCTGTTTACCTTCAGGTGCACCCACGAATATGAGACTGTAAGACCTGTCTTTTAGCTCAAATATTGCTCTGGCAGAGATATCGTAGCCTTTAAGACTAAAGTCCTCTGGATCACCACGGCCGAACGTCAGTACCCTGAACTTGTTACTCTCCTTTTCGGCCTGTTTTACGTCATAGAACTCGCGGAAAGTTCCAGGAGTCAGTTGAAGGATGTCTTCCTGACTCTTGCATGAGCGGAGCTGAGCAGAGAAAGCGTCTGTTAGCTTTGGTCCAACTGCTAGCACAGCATCTGCCAACTTGCACAACTCCACTTCGGTTAAATTCTTCTCTTCACCTTTGGAAATAGCCTCAGGATAGTTTTTGTGCATTGCAAGTTCTTCGGGTGCAGTGTGCACCACCTGAATCCACTTACAATTGTGAGAATTTCTGATAACTTGGGCTTGCCTACCAAGCTTTGCACCATGACCCAGCACAAAGTCAATGACAAGGTCTCTTGGTGGGAAACTCAACCAATCAAGAGGATCACTAAAGCCAACCAGTTTCTTAGCTTCCTGGATGGAAACATTGTGACATGATGCCATTCTCTTCTCGTCTTCAGAACAGGCAGATTGTGGGACAAGGAGAGTAACATCCACTTCAGAGTGCTTGGCCAACAGAATGGCAAGCTGTCTGTTAATGGTGGACAAGCCCCCCATCGACGAACTCCACTCACTGCCCAGGAGAGTCACCTTCAATGCTGTGGCAGACTTCATTCGACTGATTTGACTTGCTTCACCATGTGATCTAGCCGCTACATTTGAAGAGGACAAACCCTGAAGAAAAAAAGGGTCAAATAAGATTATGGTAATTACATTAAAAAAAATTGGATGCAGTCGATTAAATTTATCTTGATCAACACTTTACCAAGGAAAAGTAAGAAAAAGTATAAAATTAAAAAAAAATTCTGTCTTATTATCTGCATACCATATCTTGATCAATTAAGGGATAATTTTAGCAACTGCAGATAAGCGTGAAAAAATTCAGGCTTCGACCAGTGCACGGGCTCGAATCCCATGGAAGCCTGACTTTTTGGTATCGTCTTTTTACCTTTTGTTCAGCACAGGAAATCCATGGATAGAATTTCTTGACCTGAATTTGGTTATTCGCAGCGCCTACAGACTTGGTGCAAATGGCCTGCGTTTCATCGCCCAAATCTAACTCTGAAATGAAGTGAAGGCATTCCTCTTGCTTACAACCTCTTTTGTGATGGAGTTTACAAAGACTGATCACGCGTCCACGGGAACAAACAGGACATAAGAAACACACATCACACCCAACGTTCTTCACCCAGAAGCACTTGTCCCGAACTTGATTAGTGATCGAAGTTAGTTGGCTGCGAAAGGCTTGAATTGAGGCCATATTCACCATATCAATACCACCATTAGCACTGACAAGAACAACCTCGATTGTGGAAGAGTGGCAAAGGAGAACCACAGAGAGACCTTGCTTCGGAAAGTTGTTAAATCTGGCAAAATTGTTATAAAGTTGTGGCAGAGCTAAGCGAGGAAATTCTCTGTCACACTTCAGAAGGAATTCTATTACAAATCGGGGAAATAAGCCTAGAGGGACCCGACCTGTGTCAAATTTGATAAAAAGAGAAGGTATATTTGCAGATTCAACGAGATCACATATCTCCTCAGGTAGAGGCGTTCGCAACATAGAAGGCACTATGTAACGCTTCTTGGGAAAATCTTGTGATGATGGCCAAGGACACAACAAGCTGAATTTTTCCATAATTGCAATTAGACTTTCGTGGGTTTCCCTCTGAGGAATCAAAGAATTCCAAACATGTTTGAGAAGTTCGTCCTCCAGGATTCCTTCGATCTCGAGTCTTTTCCAAAGATGGGCAAAGTTTTTCTCTTCACGAAAGGCTCTGACAGTTATTACATTCTTGAACACATCAATCAACCACTGAATATCCAAGAAAACTAACTCGCTTAATTCTGGACTGTCATCAAAGTGAATCAGAACTCGCAGATCGTGCAAAAAGTTTAGCACTGTCTGTGTCTCGTTGTAGTTAATGTAACAAACTTTGGAAGCAATCTCTTTCGCTCTCACGAGAGGGATAAACTTGTAATCTCTTTCCTTGAGGGCTTGAAGGGCCTTTTCGTATTTCAACCACTTGATCGGAATAGCCTCGGTTACGTGTGGTAACTCTCTAGAAACGCCATGTACGCCCTCTCGCAAGCGCACGATTTCTTCACATTCTGATTTTGTGCCTGACTTAGTGTTATCAACACAAAAAACATCAAACAAGTGAGCACCATATGGCTTGGTCCTTAGATCGCCAAAAATTTCATGGGCTAGTTCAACCGGATCACGTGCGCAATAGGGCTGATCAGCATGTGTGCACACCAGGAAAACAGCGGGAAATTTCTTGAAAGGCAACACCGTCTCAGGGTCCGCTAAAGCAGCCAAAGAACTCATCCAGAAGTCTAAATAGTCAAAATTCGTTTTCAGATTGTATTCATCTGCATTGAACGCTTTGTAAACTCCTTGCTTCATCAATGGTGTGGCTTTGTCGCTTGGATTTCTACTCAAGTCATAAACCAAAAAGTAGATGGCTCTTCTTGTGAGAAAGAGGGGGTGCGTCACGTAATACACCGACTGTCCAGCAAAGTCCCACAGTATGGAGTAGATGTCTTCTTTATCATCTTCCCAGTTGTCTCGAAGGAGCGTGGGAAGTAACTTCGCAACATCGTCGAAATCCGGCAATTTTTCCCGCGTGGTGGTAAGCAAATCTTCATCTGGTTCTAATTCTGTAGGATTTCGTACTTCCTTCGTTGGTAAATGAGGTTCCTCATCGGTGGTATTGGTTGATGCTGGATTTCTAGATGGCTCTAGAAGATCTGCGTAACTTGTCTTAGTGGGTTCTCTTTTCACTGGGGTGTCAGATACTTCATAGCCAGCTGACTCGGCTGAGCTTGTTCTTTTGACTTCAGCAATTTTTTCATGCACCGTCAATTTGTCTGCAACCCACCGTGCTGTATTATGCTCAAATGAAATAACTGTGGTATCAATGTTGGCCTCCTCGTCTTTTTCTCCTGTTTTCCATATTTCGGTGGTTACTTTAAACTGATAACGATCGACCTCAATTCCCAGGGTGCTATCTTCGTTTGGGTTGAAGCAAATCCCTCTCAAGGACTTCTTGACGCTGGTTTTACCAGACCGATCTTGTCCAACTATCATCAGAGGCACTCTCTTGACGCAAGCTTGACCATCGGCTAGGGCATTTAAATAGGTTGCCAAAGCTTGAGGACCTCGAGCACGAATCGATGGAGGAACTGCAACAAACAGAAATGATTCTCGTAGTTTAATTATGCAATGTGGACCAGCCAACTTATTAAAACAATCTATTTCCAAGGTGTACTTTTATAGCCATCAATGAAATTGTGATGTAAATAGCGATGGAATAAAAGTGCAAAGAAGCCCACGAGAAACCACAACGGGTTCAGATGATAGGCTTCTTCTAAGTCATACTAACTCGTACTTATTTATGACTAAGTAAATGAACAAACAAAACAAATTGGTACAAAAAGAAATAGACTCAATGAAAACCGTAAAGGATAACCGGGCTCAGAAGAAGTGAAAGAAATTTAAAAAAACAAAAGCATTAATTTACATCAAAGGAACATTTTCAGTTCAGTTCAGTTATATCATGATACACATGTGGTACCTATGGGAAACAGAAAGTTTTCTGGATTTGTCCTACCTGTACGTTGAGATTTACACTGTCTATTGCAGATTTTAGATATCATTAACGTTAAGTATACTTGATTCTTATAAATACTGAATTAATTTTTCACAATATGATTGCAATTGTAATGCTCACTTTGCGTCCCCCGAAATTCTCAGGCGAGCAGTGCCTTGGGAAAAAGTCCTCTTGTTTAAATATCATTCTTCTATTGACCAGTGATTCTTCTTCATAACTAACCATGTTTATGTCTCATGAGCAAACTTTCAATAGTCTCTTTGTTAACTGTTTCAGTTCCACCTCATTTTAGACATACTGAACAATTACATCAACGCCAAAATTACAACCAACGCAAACTCTCGCGATTTGTATATGAATTTCTTTCTTTCCAACGATATAGTTAGGCTGTTACTTATGCAAGAAATGTATTTAGTTTTGACGATTCCATCGCCCATGCCTTGAAGTCCATGGCATTTCATCAATTTTACCTTTTCTTTCTACTCCATTGCTCTTTAAGGCGGCAACAACAAAGCATTGAACTTCCTTGACAAACTCGAGAAACTCTGGTAGCTTTCTCACTAAATTCTCTGGTTGCCACTGCCCACCACTGAGTAGCCTGTCCCACTCTTCGCAATGTAGGTGTACATCAGTCTGCGAAAAAATCGAAGTGTAAAGAAATCATAATATAACCTGGCACTCTTCCAAGCAGTGCCTTTAATAGGGTATGAGGGCGCAGATTGTCATGGGTAGACAGAAGGAGAAACCGTTTTAATAGCCTTGTTTTATAGTGTTCAGTGAATAGCAAGCTACGTTAGTGAAAGGAATATACGACGATGATGATAAATGAACTTCAAATCAACTCGAATACTGTCATAAGAACTAAACTTTGGAAAAGTTACATTCTACATAACTGAATAAATTTATATTAAAAGAGTGCTGAAGTTTCACAAAAAAACAGAATTCATTGATATAGCATGAAAGCATTACATGGCTTAAAAGTAAAATCTGCAGCGCATATATACAAAGCTCAGTTGTAGAATTGCCCGTACTTGAAAGTAAAAGAACATGGTTTCGCCACCTCAAATTTTCTTCGCAATTTCTTTGATTCTGATGGATATCCACTCTCGTGAAACAGTTCATTTAATCGCTGTTTTAAAGTTATCAAAATATTTCAGGAGTGAGTCAAGAAAGTAAGGCGAAAATTATGGAAATCATTAGTTACGGGGAAAAATGAAGTCTCTACCGATTCTCTGAATGTTCCATCTTTCATATCAGCGGTCCAAGATTTTTCTTTCGACAGGATGACACTGAAACCAGGTTTAGACGTGTACACATTTCGTTTGGAAAGCCGCATGTGAACCAGATGAAATCCCCTGGGCATCTCCTTCTCAGGGAGTCGTAGGCCAAACGTGTCATCATCTGTAAAAGTCAGCCCACAAAGATATCTTGCCAACACACGTATCACCTCTTCATCGGGCGCATAATCTACCTTGTTGGCCCTTCCTAATCAAATATATACAGAGAAAGAAATTTACAAGAGGCTAGTTAATCTTTTTTATTACACCCATTTTGAAAATCACCATTTTGAAATCACTGGTGGTCCCTGTAATCTGATTGGCTCTAATTGGTGCGATTTATTTACGAATCGCACCATTTTTTGCTTTGAGGAAGCTACACTAAAAACAAAACAACCAACCAGATTTCAAGGCTTCTACTGCTCAAGTAGTGTTCATTACTGCGAAGATCGCTTTCATATTCACTTGGCAACTTTTGTTTTAAAAACTCTTATCTTTTCCCCTCAAAAAATGGATGAATTTAATTTCAAACCGGCTCAGTACTGCGTCAATTAAATATTTGAACTGACCAAATCCTGTATTTGCACGATTTCAAAATGGATGTAATAAAGTGGTAATTGAACCTCGTGTCGCGCAATTTTGGTCTGAAATCATATTTGTGATTTCAAATCAAACTGGCGCTGCGCGCTCGTTCAATTCTAAAATCACGTGAATGATTCAGCCCAAATTGCACTCCACTATATATCCCTCTGGCAGGCCTTCTTTTGGGACCTTTTCGAACAAAATCGCAGAATTGATGATTCCACGATTATTCCGATTCCGTAAACCCTGACTGTTGTACTTAAATAAGGACAAAAAAATGATTTGGGAGGGAAGAGTGTAGTAATATATTAAATTTTGTGGTGATATAAGCAAACTACAAAAATGTATCTCGCAATATATCGGGTGAGAGGAAAGAAAAACTGCATATTCGTTTTTTAAAATACGTCATTGAAGAAAATTTACGTTCAATAAAATAAAATAAAATGTGGAAAGCTTGGATTAATCGGAGTCTTTATTTTTTCTCGATTCAGTGTAGATTCCAAGACTGCAAGATATTTGAGATGAAGTAAAAGGTAATCTATAAACTTAACATTTTTTTATTCTAATTACGCAGCGAAAATACCTGCATGTTCATTGATTATGAGTCTGCAATCAAACTCGCACCCGGGAAACAAAATATCGGCTTGTAAATATCTCCGTGATGGGAGAACCACCCAACCTCCACATCGTGACCGAGTGGATTCATCGGTGAAGTGAATCTCCTCCATGATATTTCTGACGTCAGTGGCTGGGGTTGGGATTCTTTCAAACTTCTCCTCAACATCCTTTTTCACTACCCAGACCTGAAAAGAATGTATGATAAGCTTTTGAGAAAAAATTATTGCAACTAATAATGAATTCTTTCAGCTTTCCCATTCGAAATGTTCTGTTTTGTTTTTGCCGTGGCTTGATAAGTAGATATTTAACATTAATGGCTATATGATAATAGCATTAAGCTCACTTAAACCAAAGTTTTATCGTTTTGACACAAGGCAACTTGGTGTAGTCGGTGCTTATTCAAAACTGTTAAGGCCAGTTATGCTAACAAGGTTTAGCCGTTGTTTAACAAAACGGTACTCCAAGCCATCGATCTTTAATGTAGAAGATCCTTTTATCTGAACATTTACTTTTGTGAACAGTGTAAAGAGAGCCGATAGCTAATAGTTAAAGGACAATTATTCAATGAAATCAACGTTCCCTCCAGAGGAGAATCCCTGAGGCCCACTGTCTCTGTAAAATTGCGGTTTGGGTTAGGCCTATGTAAGAAACCGGCCCTTACGGTTTGGTTCAGCTTTCTTTTGATGTGCAAAGAAACAACTTCGAAACTGCCCACAATGTACAACGATAAGAACACCTTAGTTCATTCGACTTTTATTTCTTTATTTACCAGCCATTATTTTTAAAGTTTTCGTCCTGTAATGAATTGCTTTTAGCATCATAAAAGCCACCGACTTTGTGGAAAATTTAACCAAGCCTGTTGTTAAAAATTGGGCGAGTCGCCGCCCATGTAATCAGACCCTTGAACTGACTTACCTTGCATCTCAATTGATGACTGCATGGAGTAACGAATGCTAAGTCAAATCTTGCGGCGTAATTACGATATTCTTTCGGCGTATTTTCATAGAAATAATTCTGGAATAAATCTGCTATGAAATCCACGCCTTCTTGAAATGCAACCTTCCAATAATTTCCATCGGCAGAATATTCAAACCTTGTTGTTGCATCATCTATACTCCACTCTCCTGATGGGAAACAGACTTTATTTGAGCTTAGTTTGTATTGTTGATAATCACAAATTTGAACATCTTTGATTTGAATGCTTGAGTGTGTAAGAGGAAGGGAAGATATTGCATTTAATAAGTTAAGAATGATGATAATGAATACTTATATAGCGCTGAGCGCTTAATGGTAATATCACACTTTATTACATCCATTTCAAGTGAAATCACTGGTGATCCTTGCAAATCTGGTTGGCTCTCATCAGTGCGATTTATTGACGAATCGCACGATTTCGTGCTCTTAATCGTATCTTTTTCCCTGCCAATGATATAACTTAACTAAAACACAACAAACCAATCAAACTGCAGGAAAGTGAAAGGCAGCTCAAAACTAGATCAATTAAAGATTTGTTAAGACTAAAACAACCTGCACTTTAGCGACAAATTTTGACGATTTTAAAGAAGATGTAATAAAGTGGTAATTAAACTCTGTGTCGAGCAGTTATGGTCTGAAATCATACTTGTAATTTCTACTCAAAATCGCCCTGAATTATGCAATTGCCAAACGAAATACAATGTGACCTTCATATACCAATGGAAAAAAGAGCAAAACATAAACAAAAGTGAAATGAAAGTAAAGTTATCGAAAAACACTTTTATAACAAAGCTTTACAAAAGCGTGCGCTCTGATTGGCTGATATGCTCGCTCCATTTGCCCGCAGGTTGCATGCTGACGCAGGGGCTCTTGGCTCTTTTCTTTTTTTTTTGCACACGAAATGAAAGATGTTTGACAGTCTCAATGCTACAAAAGAAATGGTCAGCGTGCAGCGAGCAACCATCGAGTTATGGTGCACGCGGGAGGTTGCTACGCACGAAAGAAGTGTAAGAGTCGCACGAGGCGAGACAACAATACAGAGGCGCGCGTAGATATGGAATTTCTCTTCAAGTTTTTAACTCGATAGCCCACGAGTGAGCGCAGCGAACTAGTGAGATGTCAAGTTGAACACGAAAGAGAAATTTCATTTCTACAAGCAATCATGTTTTACTTTTTTTATCACATAAACGCAATAGCCCTTTACTGACATAAGAAGTCCACATAATCAATGAATGAAAATAAAAGGATCGACACTTCGAATAAAAATCGTAAAGTGCGTTGGCGCACTCAAGATGAAAACATGCATTGAATCACTACAAAAAAAAAAACAACGGACCTAGTTTTCAAAATTCTCAGTTATTAAATTGGTCCTTACCGACAGAAGAATTCTCTCAGGTACAAGGTCAAAATCGGCCTGTGGCAAATCTTTTAGTTATTGACTTTCGTTCTCAGCTACGCGATATGCCATCACTAAAGCAAGTCACTGTTTGTCAGCGATATGGATTTTTCAGTGTTTTAGCAGCCATAGTCCGGAAAAATTCCGAAAGGCGAGAGACGTGTCAGCAGCTGATTGGCGATATCAAACGTACGTAAAAAAATATCGTTTTTTTTTTTTTTCACGTGTATTGTCACAGCTTTCCTAAGGGCTGGAAAATCCTTGTAGAATACCGTAGTTTATGTGATAAAATGATAAATTTAATATCATTTTGTGATCTAGTCGCTAATTCTCATGAAAACCGTCAGAACGTGCGATAAACCAATTAAAGCACCGGAAACTGAATGAAATATCGGCCACAAAGGCGAAGCTGTAATTAATTTAAGGCTGAATGAAAGCAATGGCACGAAGAAACTAGGCAGAAATTGTAAAGAAAACCATCGAGAAAAAGCGATATGTGAGATGAAGGCACAAACTACATGGTGCTACTGAAGATTACTTCAACTTGGATGGAGAAAACGCTATTTTTGTGGCCAGAATTGGCCTACCACTACGATTGCAATCTGATAATCTGTACGGAAAGTTTTTAAAAAGTTTGCAAGCCTAGGAAGCAGCTTTGAAAAGTTCTGAAAGTTTTTCATCGAAATGAAGGTCGGGTGTACAGTTTCAACTGGTAAAATTTATTTCGATTATTTCGGTTAATAACATTATTAGCCTGCACCACGACAAAAGCGGCAAAATCGAAGACAACAACATAGAGCCGTGTGTACTGATTCTAATACTGTCCAGCTAGCTTGCCTACTCGCGGCACACTATTTTCCTTGAGCAAATTTTATTTCTATTGCCTCAGTTTGAATAAAGTGCTTTTATGGAGTCCTCGTTAAAATGTACAACAAGTGCTTAAAACGCTTAAACTTGGCAAAAACCATCAAATGAAAGCTGAAATCGTAGACAGGAAAACTGATTTCTCAGAAATCTTGAATGTACATTTACTTTGCAAGTGGTTTTTCTTCACGTGTAAATAAGATTTTCAGTAGATTTTCGTTATTTTTTAGCAACAATTTCCTAGTAAAAAAAAATGCCAACTTTTTCTTATGGGGAATTCTAGTTGATAATTTCTAAAGTTCTTTCACTTTAACCGCGAAGCGCCGGGTAAGTAAAGGCTTCAAACGGAGCGAGCAGCTGTTAGTTAAACTTAACTCTGAATAGAAAATGTTTATAATGCAAGAAAAATTAAATCTTTGTCGTTGTTTTTTGCGTTCAAAGTGTTCTCATTGTTTCCTCCAAACCAAAGGCCTTTAGCAAATTCAAATCCGAGAATTTGCCCCGTGTGGTGCTTGTTCACAGGAAGGGAAGATGTTTCAGTTTTCTATGGGTATACAGGCAAATATACAAAAGATTTTTGACCAACCAGAGCGCATGTTGTGTCTGGCTAGGTTATGTTATGAGTGTATATGATATATTTCAAAACTTGAAACGGTCACGTGTTCCTATGTCCTGCCGGTCACTTACCTTCATTAGGTCCGCGGATCACAGCCGATCCAAAATGACACCAGATATCAGCCTCTAAAGGATTCTTTGCTTCTCCATGGCCTTTCATTTTACGGAGTGATTCCAACACAGCGTCTTGAAGTTTGGACAGATAACGCGAGTCGCTCACAGATTTCTGATAACAAAAGAGCCCAAGAGTTTTTTTTTTTTTTAATTTATTTTTTTGTTTTAATAAAGCATTTCTTACGTTCACATACAAAATAGAAATTAAGAAAGAAAAAAAAAAGAGAGAAAAAGATACACACATGCACTCACTTATATAGTACAAATAGAAGAATACCAAGTTAAACACACACACAAAGCTATTACAGCAATACAGTTACCTAGTATGTAAGTTACCATGGCATCACTTTAAAACTAATCATGGAAATTAATCATGACTTTACTTATTCGTAAAAACGCTTATTAACTTTTCCCACTTTCTAAAATGATTGTCTAATTTGTCTCTTTTCCCGGCAATATGGAGTTCGATATTGTAAATACGCCTTGTCCTGGCTATAAAACCTTGAAGAGAAGGTATGCCATTCTGGTATTTCCGAGAGTAAATATAAAACTTACCCAGAAGCAGAATATGGTTAAACAGGAGAAAATATTCTGCAATATCGAACTTAATAAAAATGACATCTTCCTCTTCAAGGCTATCAACAGAGATGTTATAATCGCGCAACCAGGACAAGACATGTTTCCAAAAACTAGATGATACTCTACAGGAAAAGAGTAAATACCCTACGGATTCAACCTCTGTTTGGCAGAAAACACAGGACGGCGAATCAGCCATGCCAAAACGAAACAGTTTTTCGTTTGTAAAAAGCATACGGTTTTAAATTTTAAACTGATGTTGTGCAAAACACAGCGAATCAACACTTTTCCAATCAATGTCAATGTTTGAATACTTTGCATCTAACTTTACTTTAGGCGTTGTTTGTTTTTTCTCCTGGAAAAGCCGGTAGATTTGCTTTGAGGAAGCATGAAGAATTGGAACCAAATTGTTACTTATTAGAATAGCAGGTGAATCCGGAAGTGGCAATAGTAGCCCTTTTAATTGTCAAGAGCCAACTGGCAGGCATAGAGTTAATAAGACCTATAATGAAGAAACCTTGCACTGGATTGAGATTTTCTTTAGTTGAAAATAAATCGCAATTTTTTTTAAAACCCTAAATCTGCAATATCTCGACGATACACAGATTTCTTATTGATGCAGAAAAGCTTGTTATTCCAAATAACTTCATTTGCAATTTCGTGTAGCAAGCTGGGCGTTTTTGCGTTTAATTCTGATCACGCATCGAAACACTGTTTGTAGAAACTTGGTAGAAGTTTAGCCCAAGAGTTACCAGCCTGGCTTACATCGGTATACAACAGTTGGCCAACAGTCGGCCGACAGTTGGCCGACAATATCTTTCGGGAACTGTTCTTCACTTTTACCCAAAATTGGATGCTAACTATAATAGTCTTCTTAATTAATTAAGATTACACGAGAATAATGAAGATCTAGCAGAAAATTTAGATTTACAATCGGCTTTTCTTCGATATGGTCTGCCTGTAACAACAGCATTGCTTTGCTTTATTCAGCATCTTCAAAAAGAATATTTTCTGTGAACTTATTAACGTCAAAACGGTTTTTGGATGAGGATTTGTAGCTTCATTAGCTTCGTTTTCCCCCAATTTTAGGCTGATCATCAGCACCACATATAAGACGTCTTTAAAAGAGAAGCACCTCACGATTTCAGGCAACACCTGATATTAAGAAACGGAAACCGCTGACGAGACCAGGGGATTATTTTTGGACTGTATATAGGTTTCCTTTTTCGCGCTGATCGGAGACTTATCGACAAAAACATTGAACGTATATAAATCGAGCCAATTCTCAAAAAGCGAAAAAAAAATGGAGAAGAAAATGCATTGATCTTTTGAATTATTTCGAGAGAAAATGATTTTAAGGAGGCCTTCTTCGTGAGCCGGTTTGATGGTGGATAACGATGAATTTTGAGGGTTTGGGTCTCTAGACCCGATTTTTTCCGTACAATCAAATTTACATATTAACGGCGACTGTGAAATCTCTTTCCAAAACCTACATTTCATTTGGTTGGTACCATGGAGAAGGAAGATCCTAAAAAGGAGATTCCACCAGATATCTTTTGTCGGTAACAAAACTTTATAATAAGTGTGGCACAGATACTAGTGACTCAGTATTTTTCGTTGTGACCCTTGAAGAATGAAAAACACCTAGTCTACATACATTTAATTGATAGCAGACCAACGGGCAGGCTGTGTAAACGCCGCAAAAATGAATTCATTAAGAAGAAGGGTAGAGAACTTAAGCCCGCGACCATCAGATCACAAGTTCAACTCTCTAACACACTGCCATGATAAGTTTACATTATCTTGTTATAAAAAGGTATTAAATCAAGCCCATTTCAAGGTCCTCGTTTATGGCCAACCAAAGTATATAGCCCTACACAAAGTTGTCATTATTTTTGCCAACGATTAGTATATTAAGGACAACACACCTGTTGGCCTACTTCACTTGAAGGTCTCAGTCGATACTGCCCCTCTTTTCCAGGCACTAAAACCAACTTCAGTTTACAGTTTTCAGAGAGATTCCAGCCATCAATGAAGCCACAGACTTTATTAAATTCGTTTCTTACCCCTCTCAGTCTTGCTCTAGCCTGAAATTGAAGTCTTCTTTAGTAATTTTATAGATCATTCTTTGTGATTAAGAAAAAACAACTGTAGATGGCTGCCTCAAAATCTCCCCTTTCCATTACTGTCCACAGCATTCGTGAGTAAGGATGATGTTACCTAGCCAGAAAAACGAACATCACAACATTGGCAGTAAGTGCCGCACGAAAATTGAAACTTGATGATATCTTGTGATGGAAGCAAACGCTTTTATGGGTAAACACAATGCTCATGATGCGACAAAAACGTACTCATTGCGATATTAAAAAATTGATATTAAAAACTGCTTACAATTTTTATTCCAATGAGCTGTTTAACATGTTTCCTTTGCTTCTTTGTTCCTTTCGTAATATGCACCTCCCCTCCTTTCCGCGTTACTTCTGCTCCTGTTTCGTTGCTTAACTCATGAAGATTAGCTCCGTGCCTACCAATTATTAAACCTTTATATCTGGATGGAATTTCCACCTCCTCAAAAGTATTAATCTCTATCTCCTCCTGTGAAGAAATTGATATAGAAGTTTTAAACTTCCAAGAAAATAAAACTGAATTGTAATATGTAGAGGGAAAGCTTATAACATCCTTACTGATCCCCGCTCCAATTAGATGAAACGGATTTTTTTTTAATTAAAAAAATTAATTTGTTTTAATTAAACATGCATATGGTTCGTCATAACCATCTATCTATGTGATCAGAGCTAGTCTTATCCGAGAGTGGACAGTCTTTAGATCTGCATTTTTAAAAAAAACTTACCACCTTTTCCAAAATAAGTTTCCTTGCTATTTCTCTCTGCTCTGAATCCCCAAATATAATAAATCCTTCCTCGTCTCCCTCTGTTGAGGTGATTGTCGCCCCAGACGTCTGTCTTATTGTATTTAAAACGGCTCCATCCCTTCCAGTAACATGACTTTTGAACTCCCTCGATACTGGCACAAATTCACTCTCCATTGACAGCGAGATTCAAATGATCTGAAAACCATGAGTACTTTAATAATTTGAAAGTTCCCGTAGTTAATAATGCTAAAGCAAGCATGTAGGCCAAGAAAAAAATAACAAACCAACACAAGGTAAGAAAACCGAAACAAACAAGCTTAATTATCATTTAATTATCAAAATTTTCAATTGGGGTTATTTCCATCACCAACACTATTCATCTTTATTATAGTATGAATGATTTAAGTTTTCCAATCATGGTTTAGTTTGATTCTTGATGAGCTTGTCTTATGTGGAGTGGAAAACGGAATAGAATTACGAAAACATTCTTGACAGGGAATTACTCATCTAATAAAGTTTAGGAAAGGAAGTACAAGCAGTGTTTCCATCATGAGATCTACGCTGAGTTATAACATAAATCGACCAGCACCGATAATTTGGGCAGAAACTGAACCAGTGAAAGACAAAGGCTCTTTCGACTTCCTTCGTTGACTTCAATATACTACTGCCCTGAAAGCCTCCATGATGAAATGAAGGAATTATGAAATAGGAAAGTAAACACAACATCGAGCATTGAAAATTTACCCTGAACCACAGTAGCCTGCGGAAGAAGATATGTCAAGATATAGTCCACAATTTCAAAATTCAACCGAATGTGCCTCCACGTAAGTTATATGCCATTTTCGAAAGAATTAAGTCAGGGTTTGATGGCATCTTACTTACTCTAGGGAAGCTAACAATTTCCCTTAGTTGGCACCTGGCCGTAAGAAGTCTTAAACAGCTACCGTTCTTGAAAGTAAACACTGTATTGATAAAAACCATCCAAGCGGAATTTGAGACATTAATCAAGAAAACAAGCCGGCTATACCGAAGGACTTATCTACGCTCCATATAATCTTCACGTTAATCTTTCGTTTACTCACTTAAGAAACACAGGCTTCTTCCTATTATTTCAGATTTTCTCTTTAAGAAGGAGTCTCTCATATAGGAGAAGTAACTCATCGATGAGCTTCTGTGGAAAGCCTATTGCGCAATTACAGTATGGGTTCCGATACGTAGTGAATTATAACATTCCCTATTTTAAGACAACCGATTATTTTATAGCGACTGGTACATTACTCATCTCATAATCATCGTGTTTGTTTGAATCACATATTGAAACTTGTTGAAAGATCAGGCGCTACGTTACTATTATCAATCTACACGGTACCTTAAATAAATGCCTGCTGCCACTGATTGATATCAAATGGTGCAATGAAAAATAACCTTGATGTCATACACAACCGTTTATTTTCCTGTTTAGGTTCACTGGGTTTGTCTTACTTATTTAAGGCGAAAGTGAAATTCTATGACGAAAGAGGATTATCCTGCCATTGTCTGAGGCTCGATTACATTTGTGTCTTACCATTGACTCCGCTGTTACGTGTAGTTTCCTCCACAGATCGTCCTTTAAAACGGGCTGGAAGAGCCCGTCGGTCGATCGGTCGATCGCCACCACCTTTTGTAGCTTAATTAAATGAAAATAGTTTTGTTTGGAGCCGAGATGTTTGAGAGAGGCGAGCGCGTTGCAACCAGAAGTACTTCCGTTATGGCCGATGTGGTGCTCGGTTAGACAACAAGAATGCCTAGCGATCGCAAGGCATGATGGAATTATTGCATATTGTCATCTCGGAGACTGCTTTGGCCTAGATACAAAAATCCCGAAAAATGGTCCAATATTCAGTCCGGAAAAATATAAATCTTATTTTAGAGAAAGATGTTTTTACATCTTGTCTAGAGCGTGGGACAGGGAAATAAAATCTGAATCCCCTTGAGGAATTCGGATTCCGCACTCCGATGCTGTACTACTGAGCCACAGAGGCTCCATGGTGAGCAAGGCCCATTACGAATTTCATATATGACACACATCCTGCATTCAGTTAGGATCAGCAATGCCGTTAGCGTAATGTTTTGTAAATAGAATAATAAAGATGGTAAGTTTGAGTAGTTTGACTTTCTATAATCTCTAAAAATCTCGAAATTTTCTTCAAAAATCCCGATTTAACCCAAAATTTTTTTCCGAAAAAATCCCATAATTTGAATGAAACGCAAGATTCCTATGATAAAATCGCCTGGAAGCACCTTCAAACTAATTCAAAATTACAATTTTTTTTACTAGACAATGCAAGTGGTTCGTTAGCTTAGTCTCCTTGCATATTACTCTTCTAAACAATTAATAACGACAATAAACAGTTTGAATATGAAGGCGATCTTCACAGTAATGAACACTTTCCGAGCAGTAGTGAAAATAAGGCCTGAAAAAAATTCAGGCCCGTACGGGATTTGAACCCATGACCTTTGCGATACCGGTGCAGTGCTCTACCAACTGAGCTATGTTGGTTCCAAATAAACCCGTGAAGTGATGAAAGGTGACCAAACTCTACCTGTAAGATAAGACCGCCAAAAGGAATAAGAAATCATCAACTGGCTTATTACAATGTTTACTGAATGGTTTATGCTAATATATTATTTCTATTCATTTTCCAGCACCAATATAACAAACCCTTACGATGTTTCTAGATTAGATATATTACTATTTTTATCGTTTAATAAATATGTTTATATAATAAGCTCAGTTATGCACGCATTCTGATTGGTTCTCACTTATGATGTATTGGAGGACAGACGCATAGATGACGTCAACATTCAAACTTTTGCCCTCTGTTATTTTAAAATGGCGGAAAGTTTTGAAAATTTAGACGATATTTTAGCTGACCGGGTGAACGAAGATTTCGAAAAAAGTTTTGTCGAGGCTGTGGACAGTTACGATAAACAGGAGAAAGAAAGAAAGTTTTTTGGATGCTGTTAACAAAAGGAAATCAAAATTAAATAAGCTAGTGCAACGTATCTTATCAACACCGTGACTCGCTCTTGATGATATTCGCTAACAACGTCTATTGGACTGTGCATGTCTACGTGCCAAAGACCATACCATAAACGTAGGACAGTTAGAATTCAGCAAATACATGTACGAAAGGTAATCTAATTATTTTGTCATTGTCAAATCAAGGAAGAAAGGTGTCCTAAATTAGCTAGGTATAAGCTATACGATAAGCTTAACTTTACACGCATTTTGATACAGCATTTTAAATTTTTCCATTGACAACATTTTACTTCGTCATGTTGCCCTACGTCTGTGCAGTAATAAATCAGGGAAGAATCAGGTAAGACCATTCGTGACACGCTCTACTGCGCCTCACGTGCCACCCTTTTGTTCTTACCACAATTTGATGTCATCTGTGATCTAAAATAATGAACAGACGCAAGGCAACGTAGAATCCATTTGTCGGTTAAAGAACTGGTGCAATGGTATCGAATCGTTTTTGCATTGAATATATTATACTTTTTCGCGACAGTATGAATTATGAAAGATACATTCCATCAAATAATTGATTGATTGATGAATTATTAACAATGGTACAATTACTTTCTCCCACATGTTATCGTCTCGAGAAAAAATATATCTCATAGAAGAACAGCTTAAAGTCGTTGATGATCCCTTGATTTGATGTATCATATCGCTTATAACAGGCTAATTAAATTTCAAGTGTCTACGTTCCTGTGGCGCAGTTCACCGCTAATAACACTCTGAACTCGTTTAACAAATTGAAGAAACTCAGGTAACTTCGCAACGATGTCCTCAGCCCCCAATTTTCATTCTTTAATTGTTCGTCTCAGTCTTTGCAGCGCAGATGCAGAACGATCTGCAATCAGTAGGTTTACATGCTAAAAATAAAATATGTCAACAAACGTTGAAAATCGAAACTTTTCTTGATTGGCCGAAATAGAAACTGCGATTACAGGTTGCTCGTGAAGGCAATTATTCATTTAATTACCAATGTATTAAATTGTGAGTGTTTAATTCAATATGCGAGTATGTTAGTTACAATAATGATGACAATAATAATATTTATACTGTTTTTTTTTTCTCTTTTTCCTCTATATTGCAGAATAATGACATCTCCTTTGAAAGGATAACGAAAAATTCAGCTTGTGACGAACAAATATTTCCTTCGACAAAGTTTCCTCGGCAGGGAGATTTGGTTCATTTACTTCTTCATCTTCCGTGAACGTAAAAGTTAGTTTGGACAGATATAACACACAGTTTGTCTTTCATTTTCGTCAAGATCTGCTGCATAATTGGTAGAGACGGCATCAAGTATAAGAAAAACATTATTGTGATGTCTTCGGTCAAGTTAAACACACGAGACTTAAAAGCATGTATCATCTACTGAAAAAGCAACATTTTATCTCAATCTGAGATGATCTGCATTTTTCTAATGGTATTTAAGTTTTAGACGTTTTTGCATTAATTTCGATCAGAAGTTTGAAAAACATTTATAGTTTCTTACATTCATCCAGTACTTCCTTTATCTATTTTACTTATTGGTAGATTTATTGGCCAAGTAGCCAACTGGCAAATTTGACTCTGACACCTTCTTTAAATGCGGTTTTTCCAGTAATCCTGTCCTCCCTGAGTTTTAAATTTTTCGTTGCTTCTTCAATACTTCATTGTTCTTCATCTGAAACCTCCGCTGTAATCAATCAAGTGTTTTATATTTTTACTAATGCAGGTCTAGCCGGAGTCAATTTCAGATCTTAATGATAAGGACGCCACATGCGATTCTTGGGTTAATTTTGTCATTATTCTTATCATCATTTAGATTAGTGAGAAGCTAGACAATAGTTGCAATAGGTACAATAGACTTTATGACAATTTATTAACGTTTATCACATATTTATTCATATTGAATGGATACTTTCAAACAGAAGAGTCAATACTCATAATAAAGAAAAATCATAATCAATAAGTTTACCTTCATCAGGTCCGCGGATCACTACTTTTCCGAAATTACGCCGCATGTTGGCCTTCGACCCCTTTACCGTTTTAATTCTGCGCAGAGATTGCAAAGCATTTTCTCAAATCGTATGCCACGCTATCAACGCAACTTGATTCCTTATGCTGAGAAAACAGAGGAAAACGTTTACTGATTTTCCCTTATAATTGAGCACTATTCACCAAAGTGAAAGTGGCTAGTGGGAGAAATTTACCTCGCCACTTCGAGGCTCGATAAATATCCACCGCTAGCCATCGACACCGAGGCGAATAATTGTTTTAGTATATGCTAAAATACTGAGATAAAATAACACAAAAAGATGATTATAACTCACCCATTCGTACAACAATTACAAAATTTTCGGGCGCCAATCCCTCGCGAGTTGCTCGGCGATGAATAGCAAAGGAATATCCAGAGTCTGAGTAGCAAATCAGAGCGCACCCTCAACGCTATCCACTCTTTTAGTATATACTTATAGTCTTTAGCAGCCCTCTCTTCCCCACAACCCGTAATGGAATCTCTTCTTTTATATGCGGCAGTTTCTAAGCTACAGCGAGAACATCCTTTCGCAGACGCATAACTAGTTGACACTTGACTCACTGCCTGACTTTGTATTATCTACACAATACAAACCGTACAACTGAGTAACATAGGGTCTCCCCCCAAAAGTTTTATACACTTCTGCCGCGAGTTTAAGGGGATCTATGCCATCGTAATGTTCATTAGCGTGGTGGCAAAATGCAAAACCACTGGAAGATTCTGATTCTGATAGGTACGCTTTACTATTTTCTTGAAAAGAACTCCCTTCACCGATCCACCATTGTCGCTGCCACTATCTACTAATACAATACTGATCCTATGATCATGGTTTAAATCCCAAATAATATTTGTCGAAAGATCACGGGATCTATTCTTTAAGTACTAAATATCACGACAGAAAGGAGACAGTAGATTGCTGTTGCCCATGATGCATGCCAAATACCGCGAAGGGAATACAGCTGGGGTATTGTGCACTTTCCTATTGACACCTCTTAGTGACAGGAAATTCGATTGTGTTATTCAAAGCCGTGATTGTGCCCAGGGGTTTCTCGGTCAATTTTCAAGGCGGAGGGGAAGGGGGGAGGGGGGTAAAAGAAACCTTCAAAACACACCTCTCAAAAACGACTGCCGATTGGTGCCTTTCTTGTATGACATTTCATTAGTTTAGACTCGTTTCTATTCATGTAATCATCATTTATTTTTTAACAAACCATCAAATTTTCTTGACGGACACAATTGTAGTTTAATTGATGGTTTGTTAAAAAATAAATGATGATTACATGAATAGAAACGAGTCTTGAAATATGACAAATTACAAAATAGAACTGAGCCCTCGAGACAAACATATTTTGTCTATTGTCAAGAAATTGTATTGTAATTCTTTCAGCCCTAAATAAACCAAAACGACAAAAAAAAACGAAAACCTAACAAACATAGAAATTAAATACAACTTGTGCCTTACGCTTTGTTTCGTAAATCTGACTCTGAAATAAAGTGGAGGCATTCCTCATGCTACAATTTCCTTTTTGATGTTGTGTGAAGAAGCTGACTACGCGTCCATGAGAACAGAATGGACATAAGAAACACTTCACATCTAATAGATTTCACCCATAATAACTTACACCACACGTAGTCTATCATCAAGGTTCGCTAGCTGTAAAAAGCTTAGATTTAGGCCATGTCATCCGTATCGATATCCCTTTCCTTTCGGTATAATAATCTCAATCACAGAAGAGCGGCAGTGGAGAAACACAAGGAGGCCTTGATACGGGAAAATGTAAAACCTGGTGAGGCAATTATTAAAATTTAGACGGCGCTAGACGAGGAAATTGTCATCTATACCGTAAAGAGAATTTTAATGCAAGTCTTGGAATTGAACCTGAGGAGACCCGAGGTACTTTGTGTAGATTCAACGAGATATCTAATATGTTCAGGCGAATTCGTTTGCAGCATAAATGGCACCAAGTACGCTTGTTGCACCTATCATGCGCTCATTATACCGGACGCAACAAGCTGAATGTCCCTAAAATCGCTTCAGGTTTTTGTGCGTTTTTATCAGAGCATTCAAAGGACTCCAAGCATGTTTAAGGTGTTTCTCTATAACGATCCCTCTGTTTTGAGTTCTTCTCCTAAATTAGCGGCTTTTAATTGAGGGCCGCATTTAACGGAGTAAAATTTGCAATCCCCGTTCAATTACTTGATGATTGAGTCAGTTGCTATCAGATCCGTCAAAGTGGAAGACAACTACCGGTTTCAAAGAATGTCAGCAATGATAGGCAGCCCACAGTCTTTCAAAACGTCATAAAGATCTCCAACAGTTATGAGATATTTTTTTGCAGCGAAAACCAAAACTTCCAACACTTGGTTCATTGTGCGCTTGTCCAAAAAACGTATCTCCGCAGGGGTCAGTCCCAGTTTCTCTGCAAATAGCTCCCAATCGTCTCGACCTACAAAAATAAGCATCGAAGTATGTTCAAAACATATTGCTATCTGCCCTCGACCTTTTCCCTTGCAAATTTCTGCTCAATATTTTAAAACACCCGGCTAATGTTTCCGATGCGAGAACATTACTGAACATTTTGTTTTCGTTACGCACTTTTTTTTCGCATAAGACAGATTAGTCATTAAAAAAAGCAACACAAAGGTGAGTGCGACTTTTCGTTTATCTCTGCTCTATTTCTCACCCCTCTCCCGTCCTGCCCTGTCCTTTTTTATGACTTTTCCTTTTCTTTCTTTTTCAGTTTTTACGAAACCATCTTAATTGTAACTAATATGAACTAAATCATTTAAGTGAACGATAGGTCCACTAGATCCAATAAAGAGACGTTGCTGACAGGCTCCTCAGTGAGGAGGATATCTTCCATTCAGAGAAGGGGGAAGGGAATAGGAATTATTTCCGGGAATATGAAGATAGTGGTGAGGAGAGTGTAAATGTGTGAGTGAGTGAGCGAGTGAGGTAGATGAGTCAGCAGAGGAGAGAAGGAAACGAAGGAAGGAAGGAAGGAAAAGGAGTTTTACTTAAATGCTTATGATTTGAAACACTCATCTAGCCTTATTATATAAAAATATCTTAATTCTTTGCTACAAAGCCTCACCGCTGAGAGTAACTGTCAGGTCTTTTAGCTGAGTCTTTGGAATATCTTGGACAAGGAGTGTGTCGCGTAGCATTGGACCTGGAATAAAGAACAGCAGTATATATGAAAAGTACATTTCAAATAAAGGTCGCGAGCTGGTGGTCTGAAACTAAACTTAGAGGGTCTCAATGGAGTTATCAGTTGGCCGTGAATCAGCCGTAAGGTGGAGAATTGGCCGCTCTTAACCGCTTATAAGAGATAATAACCTGTTTATTTTCTCTTGCCTTTAATAATTAAAAAAGGTTAACCTTAAAATATGTTTATTTTACCGAAGCGGAAAAAAGTTAACTGTTAGCCGTAAATTTTTTTCCGAAATTTTAATAGTAAGCCGTAAAGGTCATCACCCCATCGACACCCTCAACTTACAGATGTGCGTTTAACTTTGCTCAGCAATTTTGAAAGTTTTAGTTGAAATTTCAAGTGGCGAAGTTATTTCTCTTTATTACATGCAAAAAGAAATCAAAACCGTTCTCTGGATATGTTCTGTCCAATTTTCGTTTAGAATGAAGAATGAACGACTTTTTCAGGCTTTTCTTGTGTCTTAATTCCGTACGGAAACGCGTTTCAGAACCACTCACCATCCCAGCTTGCTTACCTGCTGTCCCTGCTGGCATGATTTCTCTTAAATACTTAACAACATCAGTCCTGCCACGATCTTTAGCGTTCCTCGTGAGGCAACGGATCCATTTCTCAGTTTCAGGTTTCGGATCTTCCAGTGAGGCATCATCAAGTTGTAGATTGTGAAGCAATTTATCTATAACCTCTTTTGGGGGGTCCGATGTTAACTGGAGAGATTCGCTAACTTTGTGAGGCAAAACAAGAGATTCGTATCCATTCCCTAAAATATCGAAAAACAACGACAGCGATAAACAAAATGTGCCTCAAAAAAAAAAAGGTAAAAGGTAATGACCAAAAAAGGTAATGAACATGAGAGAAAAAGGGGCAACCTGATACAGAAATGGAAGGAAAACTATGAATGATCGGCAACGGGGGTAACGCACCCTGCACTCAACTTAAACTAAGCAACGAGAGTATTGCACGTTGCACTCAACTTAAATCAAACAACCAAAATGGTAGAAAGAAAAGCCGAGTTACCTTGTGAAAAAGGGACCAGCGTCCCATCGCTCCCCTGAAATGCATCTCGCCGTGAATAGGCAGGTTCTAGTTGATTTGCAGCGGATGTCTGAATTTGACAATTTCCTGTAGGAGTGTTGCAAACGAAGGTGTTATGGTGAGTAACGATTCTGGACTCTCACTAAGTTAATGAATCATTTTCATGAAAAGCGATGACGTGCGATATTTACGCACGAGTTTGTTTTCAAAAAACGAACAAGCAAGGCTTTGCGAGCGAGTGAGTCAGTTTGTTTATTAAATAAAAACTTTCTTGAAATTCAAGGTGATTTATTAAATCGCTTGTACAAGTATCCATGTAGTTTTGAAGGCTTTCTAGGTAACTTACAAAAAGGTGCCTTCAAGTTAAATCAAGGCTTGAAATAATAAAATAAAATGCTGAATTGAATTAACTAAGCTTACAGCATGACAATTTCATAACAACGAATTAGTTTTTCGCAAGTATTAATTCGGTAATATACTGAATAAAAAGGAGGAAAAGCTGAACAAAAATAAGTATTTAGTTTTTCAACGCGGCTGGTTCTTTCTATGTCAAAGGTGGACTGTCGTCGTCGTCTGAGGAGACAAAAACGCATTTTATCCGTTTATGAGTTTGTTGCTTATGTGCTTCTGCTGAAGACAAGGACAATGGTGAAAATTGAATGAAATCAGTGGTATGATTTGACAAGTCTCTCCTGATTGGACGAACGCTTTATGCACGTGTAAGAGAGCCATATCGCTGCTCTGATTGCCTACCAGAATTTTTAAGGCGGGTTAAGAAAACGGGGAGTAAATCTCAAGTATGTATATAATAACACACCTTTGAGTGCGCTGAGGATGAAACAATTTTACAACCGAAAAAAGATGAATAGAGACTAACTTTGTGCAAAAGGAACCAGTTTTCCGTCGCTTTCAACGCCTACTTGTGGTTGTAGCTGAACGGATGTTACAGATTTGCAAGGTATCATTGATGTCTCCTCGTTTCCACCTAGGAAAGAATTACAAACAAAAAAATTGAGTGATGAAAGTGCTGAAAAAGGAAATAAAAGGAAAGGAAGATAAGTCAAAGATCGTGCTTATCTAGGCGATGTTCAATGTACTGTGAGATACGGTGTGCTAGGGGGTCCACGCTCTGTAATCTGGATCAAGTGGTCCGGGCTCGAGACCTGCCCGGCTTGTTATGTTGAGAAGGTCAATTTCTCCCCATTGGACTCCCTCCCTCGCCTAAGTATTTATTAGTGCCAGCGAAATGCCGGGGGGAGGGATACCTGTGATGAATCAGTTGCCCATCTAAGATAAGTAGTAACAATATTTACCCTAGAAGTGCTCTACAGTGACGAGCCCTGGCAATTATGAACCACTGAGGTGGAATGGACGTTTAATTTTTATCTGTTGTTCACGCTGGCGCATATTCTCTCGAGAAATCAACCCCATCAGTTCTATCATAATCCTTAGCATCCCTCGTATGACAACGGATCCATTTTCTATCGTCAGGAGCTGGAGCTTTCAGCGATGAAAGATTCAGCAGTTTACAGACAATATCTTTTGCAGGGACTGATTCGGACTTGAGAGACTGGGAAACATCGTGAGGTAGCGCAAGAGATTTTTCTCCATACTCTAAAATGCGCAAATGTACTTATTATTCATTATTCTGCACGGAAAAACGTTTTTATAATTATTTCGATGGCAAAAGTATAGTAAGAATACCCTTAACGATAGGCAATAACGACAGGAAAGAAAGAGCATATTCTTCATAAAAAACTTAAGAAAAAACAACCATATCATAATGACCCTCTGAAACAGGAACAAGTGTCCCTTTGCTCTCATTAACGGCATCCTGAAGTTGGTTAAATTCTCCTTCGAACTGTTCAGCAACGAGAGTAATAATAATATGAAATGAGCAAATGTAAAACAAGCAAAAAGGAAGAAACTGACCTTGTGCAAAAGGTACTAGCAACATGTCACTTTCAACGTCTACACTTAGTCCTTGTAGCTGAAGTGTTGCCACAGCTTCGCTTGGCAACACGGGTGATTTCCTCTGATATCCATCTGAGATACCTATTTCAAAGAGAAAAATTTGATTGGACGATAGGAATCGTTTATGGTAAGCTTAAAATACGAAACTACAGAATAACTGTGGAAAGAAACGTCTCTCATCGTTGAAACAAATCGACTGACACGAAGTGTGTAATCGAGAGATAAAAGTGGTGGCTAACCTTTCCCAAATTGAGGCCCCCCTTCACGTTGATGAGTCGCTATATGCTGTTGATGAAAATAATAAAAAAGTCGCCAATATGGGCTCTTATGGGTGAATTGAACCGTTTTCATTCGTTCCTACTCATTTCGGCGAAATCAGTGCGAACGAATGAAAACGAATAATTGCCCAATCAGTCAGTCGTGTATCTAGAGGGGAGCGTGATACTCCGTAAAAAGGCCAATATTAATGTGACCTGACATCAAATGACATTCAAAAAAGACTCAGGCAAATCTTCTCGGCATAAAGGCAAAAAGGGCTTCGAGAAACACTTTCAATTATTTAAAAATTTTTATAAAAGTCGAGATCACATTGCGTTCACACGTAAAAGCAGCAAATATTTGCTATTCGCCGTTTAACATATTATAAGGTAACCACGTAAAATTATCGATCATGGCAATGCTAAGGGGGATATTTTGGTATCTTTTGATGGTTTTGGCAAGGCAATCTAAGTTATACTGAAATAAATATTTTAGAAAGAAAGAACGTTATAATCACCAACAATTCAACAATTCTCTCTGTTTTTGTAAAATATTATAGATGCATTACCATACACGATCAGTTCTCTCTTTGCTCGTATTTAGAATTGCCGAGAATTTGACAACGAATGATTGTAACAATCTTGCTGCCCAAACGTACCAGCTAATCGAGTATGTTACTAATTCATGCCAGGAAAAAAACATTTTTATTACCTTTTCCTTACCAGAAGAAATCCAAGGAGCAAACTGTTCGGCATGAATCCTGTTATCCAAAGCAGTTACAGAGTTGGTACACACGACCTGCTTTTCATTGCTTAAATCTGACTCTGGAATGAAATGAAGGCATTCCTCTTGCTTACAACTTTCCTCGTGATGTTGTGGGCAGAAGCTTGCCACGCGTCCATAGGAACAAACAGGACAAAGGTAACTCACTTCGCATCTGATGTTCTTCACCCAGAAGAATTTTTTCCACACCCGATCAATGATCGAGGTTAGCTGGTTACGAAAAGCTCGAATTGAGTCCACATCGACCACATCAGTAGCACTTTTTACACTGAGGACAACCACCTCAATTGTGGAAGAGTGGCAAAGGAGAACCAGGGAGAGACCATGACTCGGAAAGATATGGAATCTGGCAAAATTTTTATAAGTTTTGGGCAGATCCACGCCGGGAAATTCCTTTCTACACCACTGAAAAAATTCCAGCACAAGTCGGGGAAATAAGCCAGGCGGGACCCGACCTGTATCAAATTTGAGGAAAAGAGAGGGGAGTTGGGCAGAGTCTACTAGATCACTTATCTGCTTTGGTGGAAGTGTTCGCAACATAGATGGCACCAAGTAATGTTTGTTGCACAAGTCATCTGATGATGGCCAAGGACACATCAAGCTGAATTTTTCCATAATCGCAATAAGACTTCCGTGGGTTTTTTTCTGAGGAACCAAAGAGTTCCAAACATGTTTGAGGAGGTTTTCTTCCAAGATTCCTTTTTTCTCGAGTTTTTCCCAAAGAGGAGCAAAGTGTCTCTCTTCGTGATAGGCCCTGACGGTTATTACATTCTTGAACACGTCAATCAACCACTGAATATCCAAAGTAACTAACTCACTCAATTCTGGAGAGTCGTCAAAGTGAATCAAAACTCGCAGATCGTGCAAAAAGGTAAGCACTGTCTGTACTTCGTTGTCGTTAATGATACAAATCTTCGAAGCGATTTTTTTCGCTGTCGAGAGGGAGATGAACTTGTGATCCTTTTCCTTAAGGACGCGAAATGCCTTTTCGTATTTCAACCACTTGATCGGAATAGCCTCGGTTACGTGTGGTAACTCTTTAGAAACATCATGTACGTCCTTTCTTAAGCGCATGATTTCTTTACATTCGGATTCAGTGCCTGACTTTGTGTTATCAACACAAAACACGTCAAACAAGTGGGCACCATATGGCTTGTTCTTTAAGTCGCCAAATATTTCATTGGCTAGTTCAAATGGATTACGATCGCAATAGGGCTGATCAGCATGTGTGCACACCAGGAAAACGGCGGGAAATTTCTTCAATGACACTAAATTTTCGCGGTCCACTTGTTGGCAATCACTCCCTAAGGCAGCCAAAGAACTCATCCAAAAGTCTAAGTAATCTAAGTTCGTTTTCAGATTACATTTATCTTCAATTTCTCTATAGACTCCCTGCTTCACTAATGATGTGGCTTTGTCTCTTGGATTTCTGCTCAAGTCATAGACCAAAAAGTAGATTGCTCTTCTTGTGAGAAAGAGGGGGTGCGTCACGTAATACACTGACTGTCCAGCGAAGTCCCATATCATTGAATAGATGTCTTCTTTATCATCTTCCCAGTTGTCTCGAAGGAGCGTGGGAAGTAACTTCGCAACATCGTCGAAATCCGGCAATTTTTCCCGCGTGGTGGTAAGCAAATCTTCATCTGGTTCTAATTCTGTAGGATTTCGTACTTCCTTCGTTGGTAAATGAGGTTCCTCATCGGTGGTATTGGTTGATGCTGGATTTCTAGATGGCTCTAGAAGGTCTGCGTAACTTGTCTTAGTGGGTTCTCTTTTCTCTGGGGTGTCAGATACTTCATAGCCAGCTAACTCGGCTGAGCTTGTTCTTTTGACTTCAGCAATTTTTTCATGCGTCGTCAATTTGTCTGCAACCCACCGTGCTGCATTATGCTCAAATGAAATAACTGTAGTATCAGTGTTGCTGTCCTCGTCTTTTTCTCCTGTCTTCCATACTTCAGTGGTTACTTTAAAATGATAACGATCGATCTCAATTCCCAATGTGCTATCTTCATCAGGGTTGAAGCAAATCCCTTTCAATGACTTCTTCACGCTGGTTTTACCGGACCGATCTTGTCCAACTATCATTAGAGGCACTCTCTTGACGCAAGCTTGACCATCGGCTAGGGCATTTAAGTAGGTTGCCAAAGCTAAAGGACCTCGAGCACGAATCGCTGGAGGAACTGCAACAAACGGAAATGATACTCGTAGTTTAGTTATGCAATGTGAACCCGCCAACTTATTAAAACAATCTATTTCCAAGCTGTACTTTTATAACCATCAATGAAATTGAGATGTTAGGAGCGATATAATAAAAGTGCAAAGAAGCCCACGAGAAACCACAACGGGTTGAAATAATAGGCTCCTTCTAACTCATACTAGCTCATACTTATTTACGACAAAATAACTGGCAAGGTACAAAAAAAACAGACTTAATCAAAACCGTTTTTAATATACTTATGTGTATCAGATAACTGGGTTCAAAAGCAGTGAAAGAAGTTAAAAAAAAAACAACAAAAACAACAACAAGATGGATTTATGTCAAAAGGAATAGTTTCAGTTCAGGCGTTTTAGAGCTAAGAATACATACACATTTGGTACCTTTGGAAAACAGAAACCTTTCTTGGATTTGTCCTATTTGTACATTGAGGTGTACACTGTCTATTGCAGATTATAGATATCTAACGTTAGGTATACTTGATTTTTGAAATATTGCCTCAGTGTGAGCATCGATGCACTCCTCAACATTATTCAAATAATTTTTCACAATATGATCACAACTGCATGCCATGGCAATGCTCACTTTGCGTCCCCCGAGATTCTCAGGCAAGCAATGCCTTGGGAAAAAGCCCCCATTGTTTAAATGTAATTCTTCTATTCCTCGTTCCATTAGCCATTAGATTCCTCTTTATAACGAAGCACGTCTATGTGTCACTTTCAGTTCCACCTCATTTAGACATACTGAAAATTTACATCAATCCCATCGCCCATGCCTTGATGTCCGTGGCTTTTCATCAATTTTACCTTTTCTTTCTACTCCATTGCTCTTTAAGGCAGCAACAACAAAGCATTGAACTTCCTTGACAAACTCGAGAAACTCTGGTAGCTTTCTCACTAAATTCTCTGGTTGCCACTGCCCACCACTGAGCAGCCTGTCCCACTCTTCGCAATGTAGGTGTACATCAGTCTACCAAAAAAAGAAGTGGAAAGGAATCATAATATAACCTTGATTTGAGTTGGGGTTGTGGTAACCAAGCCATGCCTATAATAGGGTATGAGGGCAGAGATTGGCATGGGTAGAGAGCAGGAGAAACGCCGTTTTTTTGGTATTTTCTGTGAATAGTAAGTTACCTTAATGAAAGAAGTATACGATGATGATAATAAATGAACTTAGAATCAACCCGAATACTTTCACAGGAACTGAACTAAGGAAAAGTTACATTATACGTGACTGAGAAATTTATTTTAAAAGGGTGCTGAAGTTTCGCAAAAAAGGGAGAGAGTTATTAACCCAACGAAACAAGTAAACAGAATTCATTAATACAGCATGAAAGCATTACATGGTCTAAGAGTAAAATCTACTGCGCATAAAAAGTTCAGATGTGAAATTGCCCATAGTTAAAAGTAAAAGAACGTAGTCTCGCCACTTCGACGTTTCTACACAATTTCTTTGATTCTGATGGATATCCGCTATTGTTAAACAATTCATTTCATCGCTGTTTCAAAGTTGTCAAAATATTTCAGGAGTGAATCAAGAGAGTATGGCAAAAATTATGGAAATCATTAATTACGGGGAAAAATGAAGCAGAGTCGATACCGATTCTCTGAATGTTCCATCTTTCACATCAGCGCTCCAAGATTTTTCTCTAGACAGGATGACACTGAAACCGGGTTTAGACGTGTACACATTTCGTTTGGCAAGCCGCATGTGAGTCAAATGAAATCCCCTAGGCATCTCCTTCTCAGGGAGTCGTAGGCCAAACGGGTCATCATCGGTAAAAGTCAGCCCAGAGAGATATCTTGCTAACATACGTATTACTTCTTCTTCGGGCGCATAATCTACCTTGTTGGCCCTTCCTGTTAAAACATTCACCGAGCAAGAAATTTTTTAAGAGGCTAATCAATCTTTTATTTTCCATTAGCAGGCCGTCTTTTGAGACCTTTTCGAACAAAATCGCAGAGGTCATGATGTCACGATCATTCTGATTCCTAAACCCTGACTGTTGTACTTAAATAAGGACAAAAAATGTATTTAAAAGAGTGTATTTATGTTTTAAATTTTGTGGCAATGTAAACAAACTGCTAAAATGTATCTCCCAACATATCTGGTGAGTGAAAAGAAAAAAAACTGCATATTCGTTTTTTAAATACGTAATTAAAGAAAATTGACTTTCTCTGAGATGAAATAAAATGTGCAAAGCTCGGATCAATTAGAGTCTTTATTTTTCTTGATTCAGTGTGGATTCCAAGAATGCAAGGTATTTTAGAATGAGTGAGTTGCAAGTAATCGGATCCTTGCGTTTGAGCACAGATTTCTGGGATCGCCACGGGGCAAACATTGTAACTCGCTAGAAAGGAACGCATGGCGAAAGGTTGTTGGACGTCCAAAAAAGCGATTTTGACGACATATTATGGCTTTTTCGCCGCAATTTTATTTATTAATGGATGAAGATAATGTTGATACGAGATAAGTGTAAGTTTTCGTTGGAATTACCACGAAATATGTTGTAAAAAAAATACCGAAAAACTTCTCTCTTTGTGTATGATATATTGTGAAATTGGCATCGCGTAATGGTCTCGAAATATTACAAAATTAGCCATAAATCGCTAGGAAATAACTCATTTAGGTTTATTCAATTTTATTTATATATGTACAGCCTGTTTTCACACTTGTTAACGTATTTAATAGACAAATTACGACGTTTGAAAATATATCTCCTCAAAGGAAAGATGTCGTTGTCAGCGGAGGTGGAAATTATTTTACCGAACTGTTGCATTCTGAAAGGATGAAAAAATGAGGAAATCCCAAGGTAAAGAGATATTTTGTTTGAGAAAAATCCAAAGGTCTTATGAGCCGCAACTTTTCTTCTCGGACTCCTTGAAGGATCTTGTCAGGAAAAGCAAGTTCACGGGAACTCCGACAGAAACTGTGGACATATCATCAGTTGTGCATCGCTCCTTAAGAGACCAATTTGTGTCACTCATCGCCCCAGAAGAAAGGGTTCAGTTTTGAGCCGATTATCAATGCTGATTCGTTCAAATTGGCACAACAAAGAAATAGTGTAGGTGTTTTATCACTTTAATGTACCACATTATGCACGCCATTTCAATCTCCTGCTGCCTCGAGGTAGCTTTTGTAGCGCTCTTTTGTATTACCAAGCCATGTTAAAAGCTAGAGTAGACTTAAAACGTGTCTAAACAACTGAAAAAGCTTTGTTGAGTTATTCCTTGGCAAAGAAAAACTTACACTTCCCTCGTATCGGCACTACCCAAATCTCTCTTTTTTTTTTTGTACGTCGGAACAACCTTTCGCCATACATTTCCTTCTAGTGAGTTGCAATGTATGCCCCGTGGCGATCCCAGAAATCTGTGCGCAACTCATTCATTAGTAAACTCGTTCATTAGTAAAAGATGATTTATAGACTTAACATTTTTTTAATGTAATTACGCAACGAAAATACCTTCATGTTTGTTGATTATGAGTCTGCAATCAAACTCGCACCCGGGAAACAAAATATTGGCTCGCAAATATCTCCGTGATGGGAGAACCACCCAGCCTCGACTTCGTGACCGCGTGGATTCATCGGTAAAGTGAATCTCTTCCATAATGTTCCTGACGAAAGTGGCTGGGGATGGGATATCTTCCAGCTTCTCCTTAGCATCCTTATTTTCTACCCAGACCTGAACAAAATGTATGAAAAGCTTTTGGAAAATCATTCTGTAAACTAATAATGGATTCTTTAAGCTTTCCCATTCGAAATGGTTTGTTTTATAGTTGCTGTGGCTCAATAAGTAGATATTAAACATTAATGGACATATGATAATATAATTAAGTTAACTTACTCCAAGGTTTTATCGTTTTGACATGAGGCAACCTGGTTTAGTCAGTGCTTATTCAAAATTATTAAGGCCAGTTATGTTCACAAAGTTTAGCCGTTGTTTAACAAAACTGCATTCTAAGCCATCTTCAAAGTAGCCGAATCTTTTATCTGAACATTTACATTTATGAACAGTGTAAAGAGAACCGAAAGCTAATAGTAAAACGGGACTTTTATTTGATGAAATCAACGTTCCCTCCGTAAGAGAATCCCTGAGGCCCGCTGCTTCCGTATAACCGCAGTTTGGGTTAGACCTATTGTAAAAAACCGGCCCTTTAAGGTTTGGTTCAGCTTTCTTTTGATGCTCTTACTGTGCAGAGAAACATCTTCTACACTACCCATAATGTTCAACGATAGGAAGACCTTAGTTCATTCGACTTTTGTGTCTTTATTTACCAGCACTTATTTGTGAAGTTTTCGAATGAATTGCTTTATCAGTAGCATCATATGAGCCACCGATTTTGTAGAAAATTTAGCCAGGCTTGTTAATAAATTTGAGCGAGCCACCGCCCATGTAATCAGACCCTTGAAAGTTAACTTACCTTGCATCTCAGTTGATGACTACATGGAGTAACGAATGTTAAGTCAAATCTCGCGGAGTAATCACGATATTCTTTCTCTGTATTTTGATAGAAATATTTCTTGAATAAATCTGCTATGAAATCCACGCCTTCTTGAAATGCAACCTTCCAATAATTTCCATCGGCAGAATATTCTAACCTTGTTGTTGCATCATCTATACTCCACTCTCCTGATGGGAAAAAGAGCTTATTTGAGCTTAGTTTGTATTTTTAATAATCACAAATTTGAACATATTTGTTTCGAATGCTTGGATATGTAAGGAGAAGGATATGTACTGCGTTTGATTAGTTAATAATGATGATCATAAAAATAACAATTATTCTATACTTAAATAGCGCTAAGCGCTTGACAATAACATCACACTTTATTACATCCATTTCAAGTGAAACCACTGGTGATCCTTGCCAATCTGATTGTCAGCGCGATTTGTTTATGAATCACACCATTTTATGCTCTTGATTGCATCTTTCCCTGCAAATGATATAACTCAACTAAAACGCAACAACAATCAGATGCAGGGCCTGTTTAAAGAAACCAATCCAAACTGCAGGAAAATGAGAGGAAACTTTGCAACTTTTTAAAAACCAACTCAAAACTGGATCAATTAAATATTTTTAAAGACCAAAACAATCTGCGCTCGAGGGACTAAATTTGGCGATTTCAAAGAAGATGTAATAAAGTGGTAATTAAACTTTGTGTCGTGCAATTGTGGTCTGAAATCACCCTTGTAATTTCCGATGAAACTCGCCCGGAATTATGCGATTGCAATACGTAGTAAAATGTGACCTTTATATACCAATAAAAAAAAGGAAAATATAGACAAAAGTGAAATGTGAGTAAAATTATCAAAAAGAACTTTTATAAAATAGCATTACAAAAGCGCGCCGTTTGATTGGTTAATTTGCTCGCTCCATTTGCGCGCAGGTTGTATGCTGACGTCAGTTAGTTGTTGTTGTTGTTTTATTTTTCTAAACGAAACGAAAGAAGTGTAAGAGTCGCACGAGGCGAGAGAGAATATCGAAGATCGAAGTTCCAATAACAAAATAAGTTTATTAGTCAATATAGAAGGTGCAAATAACGCTTTCAAATGCGATTTTTTACATTTTGCCATCAAATATTGTCAATTTTCGCATTAGGTGCCAATATCCCTTGCGAACTGAACTCCCAGTTTTCTGGGAATTCCTAGGAATTCCTAGGAATTCTCAAAAATTCTTAATTATATACAAGAGATATACATATATGTATACGTTTATAACTTAAAGATCATGGAACTTATTATTCAAACTAAGTTTTAGTGAATCTCTACATTAATATGAATTTTCTCATGAAGCAGCAGTCATTTATGTTAAATGCAAATTGCCAATTAATCCAATGTACTCATATCACAGATTTGCTTTCTAACCTCAAAGGACTCTTGGATTCCATGATCATAAAATTTTTTTATTGTGATGCCGTCTCATGATTACAGATGTGAAAAAATCATCAAACATTCATTAGCTGTTTCTCTGGTACACAACTTCCACATGTGTAATAATAATTACACTGTTATCTACACTTAAGAAACTTTGATAGTTATGAACATAAGTTACTTCCCTACATTACTGGTTGCCTTTGTTAGAGACTTTTTGCTGACACTATTTTTAGTGGAAATTTCATGCCTTAGACAAACAAATTCAACACCTAATTAATCTTTCTTTTTTCATGATTGTTGTTGCTGTTTTTTTTTTCAGTTTTTTGCTCTGTTTTCGTAACTGATTGCTGTAATTTGTTTTGCGGTTTTTATTCTTACAACACATTTTTGTAAGAGTTCCAATACTTGTGGGTCATCCACACACTTCGCAAACATTTGGCATGCAGACAAAACAGAGGTAGCCACTGTTCCCTTTGAGAAAAAACACCTTTTAAATGACTTCTTCAATTTACCTCATTTGAAACCCTGATCTGAAAATACTTTTAAAACAAGACTTGTTAGTAGTGAGAAGTAAAAACCGAGTTTCCTTTCAAAACTTAATTTCTTGAATGTCCCAATCACTGGATCTCCCAAAAAAACTACTTCTTTTTATTTTTGGTGCAAAATACAATTCCCTCTTTATATACAAATGAAAAGTGCAAGTCACACTTCAATAATAACAGCTCTAAAGTTTACTTGTTGTTCTTCTCTGTCCATCAGCTATCAACAAAATTGTTTTATATCTCGGACAGTGCATAACCATTTGTGGACCAGAGTTCCAACGCACCTCTGTAATCGCATATAGTTGCTTCTGTATCTTGTACAAATGCTTCTCCTTTATGAGACGGACTTTACTGTGTTGTCACCACTGCTTTAAGTTCAGCGGAAACGACTGACTGAGGAATCAAGTGGCGGTGTTGGAACGTGTTGCTGAACGCTTGCTACGGTCAGGCTTTGTTGATTTAGGTACTGGCACACTGGGATCATCTATGTATCTCTTATACTTCCTAATGTGGTATCCTTCTTCTATAAAAATGAGGGTAAAAGACAATTTGTAATCGCATTCAAAACTGTGATTGGCTTGTGTTAATATTTCTCACCTTTGCCATTAACACAACTCAAGTGGGTTTCGAGTCTTTGTTTCCTCGACAACTTTCAGCCACAAATCGCGCATTTGTAGTACGATCGATTCTTGTCGATTATTTCTACATAGAGTGAGCTCACATCATTATTTATATAACCGTCAGAACATGGGTGCAAGGTATCCATCGTCCAGAAGCAGAGAACCGGTCGGAGAGGTCAGAATAAAATTGTGCGCTTCTCTTGACACTGCTATCGGCAAGTCAGCGGATTCACTATGCTAGCCAGTGACAAGTCCTAAAAGATCCGCGTGATCATGCACGTGATCGGAAACAAAGAAGACTCCACTTGGCGCTCATCTTTGAATGTAATTTTCATCGGTTGATCGCTTGTTTATTAAGTTATTTCTTTTCTCAACTATTTTGCCAAATATAACATCTCTAAAGATAGGTTTTATTGTGGTTCAATGGGAAAACGAGAACAGCGCGAGTGTTGTAAAAGAAAAGAAAGTCGTTGGCGCCGTGAAGTTAAAAGAAGGGACAACAGTTGACATATTGACTGGTACAAACAAGGGTCGAGTGGCCATTTCTAAAGCTACCATCTTGACAGTTTGTAGTGAGTAAAAATTTTGATATTCGTTACGTGATCAAAATCTTATCAAAGAATAGATATAACGGCTTGAATTAAGCTTACATAATGCTCGGTGCAACTAAAACTAGAATAATTCTGAAAATCGAATCGGTCACTTACATGCCGCAGTTTCTTAAGCTTATGCTTTACAATGAAAAACATCTATCAATAAGGTTTCAAGATTACTTCAGTACGTTTGGGAACATTCATGATTCATGATACAAACTGTGATTAAACAAACCTCATTACGTAAAAAAGCCCTCCTTGGTAAAAACAAAATAATGTATTCAGCCCTTTTTTTTAGTAAAATCTATGAGAGAGGTGTACTAACTCTAATATAAAAGTCATTCAATATAACAGAGATTTCCCAATCCCATTGCACTTTGTTAAATTGAGATCAAATGAATTTCCTTTTCCTTATAGCTATCTAGGGCCTTGTCTAAGCTTTTAATATATTTATATATTTTTTTTTTCATATTCAGGTGTCATGGAGTCCAGATACAAAATGGTCAAGCTTCTTGTAGACAACTTCATTCAAGGCCAACTCACTGAGAGCCCAGGGAAAAAAAGAGAAACAGCAGCTAAGTCTGCAGTTTAGGATAACTTCATTCTAATTTATTGTTACAGTTACCATAAGATTTTAATTGAAAAATCAATTCTATTTAAGTGTAATTTACCCCTTAACTCTCAAGAGTGCTAGGTCAAAATTTGAGAAGAAATCTTTGAATTTCAAGGTGCAGAATCAACAAAAACAAGGCGTAAAACATGAAAGTGCTGCTTGATAGCTTACATTTGAATGTTCACACACAATAATTTTGTCCAAATAAGTTGCAACAAAATAAAATCAAGTCAAAACCTGTCTCTGGGAGCGCAAGGGTTAATACCATTTGTATCATTATCCGAAATTAAATGATTCATTTTAAGACTATTTTTAGACCGATAGTATTTATTGCAACAAATATAATTTAAGATATTGTATTTTATGGACAAGAATCAACAGATTTTATTAACAATTTGTGTCGAACCAAATTTAATGATCGATTAGAACTATTTTATATGAATAGCTGTAATTGAGGATTAATCCGCATGAAGTTTTCAAGAAAATAAAAATAAATCAAATTCCATCCAAATTCCATCCATTCCATCCATCCTACATTTTGATGTTAATAGTTAATCAAAAATACTTTACACGTAAACCTTAATTAAGCTTGTAAATAAATTTCATTGAATACTTGAATTTTAGCTGGGATTTTTTAATTTTTTAGTATTTATGTTATATAAGTAGCCTCAAATTTTTGCTTAAAATTCCCAGTAATTCTTAAACATTCCCAGAAATTCCTAGGAATTTTTTAGATTTACAGCTTTTCAGGGAAAGGAATTGGTGCTCTGAGTTGGAATTCCTAGGAATTCCATGTCCTGTTGGCTATAAACTTGGAATTTCTGGAATTTCTGGGAATTTCTAAGTTTTTAGAACCAGAGTTGTTATGATTGGGAACTCTTAGGAATTCCTAGGAATTCCCAGTCAGAATTTACCGTAAAAATGAACACCTTTTACTCCTAGGAATTCCAAAATCCATTTCGCAAAATCCATTTCTCGGTGACTCATTGCTTTGAAGTCACATCATGTGAATGTTACATAAGAGCATGCCATCGATAAACATGATGTCTTGTTTACACTTAATTTCTATTTGAAATACAAAACGCCTCAGGAAAATGTGTTTTTCGTTATCAGGTACCCAAACATTTCACGCTCAATGACGTCATCATGGTAACTGGCATTATAGGGATACGAACCAAAAGAATTAACGGGATACGGGATATTACGGGCAAAAATTAATGAGATACGGGATACTCAGACATCCCCACCACCCCCCCCCCCCTCCTTAATGGGGCCTCACTGATACAAATACCTTCAAGCTTTTTTGTTTACTCGCGGTACACTATTTTCCTTCAGCCAAATTTGTTACTATTGCCTCAGCTTGAATTTAAACTTCCATGGAGTCCATGTTAAAATCCACAACAAGAGCTTAAAACGCTTAAACTTGGCAAAAACTTATCAAATGAAAGCTGAAATCGCGAACACCACAACGAAATTGCCATAAATCTTGAATGCTCATTCACTTTGCAAGTGATATTTATTCTCGTATAAACAAGATTTTCAGTAGATTATCGTTAGTTTGTAGCTGCAATTTCTTTGTAAAAAAATTCTAACTTTTTCTTTTCGACGAGTAGTTTAGGGAATTCTTGCCGAGAATTTCTTAGGTTCTTTCACTTTAACCGCCGAGCTAAAAGTAAAGGCTTAAAAAGGAGCAATCAGCTGTTATTTAAACTAAATTTTAAAGAGAAATTTTTCAATGCTAGAAAATTAATTCCGGTGTCTTTTTTCCTGCGTTCAAAGTGTCCACATCGTTTCCTCCAAACCAAATGTCTTCAACAAATTAAAATCTGAGAATTTGTCCCGTGTGGTGCCATTTCACAGAACGGGAAGATGCTTCAGTTTTTTATGGGTATACAGGCAAATATACAAAAGATTGTTGACCAACCAGGGCGCATGTTGTGCCTTGGTTACGTGATAAATGTGTATGGTATATTTTAAAACTTGAAACGGACACGTTTTCTTATATCCCTATCGGTCACTTACCTTCACTAGGTCCGCGGATCACAGCCGATCCAAAATGACACCAAATATCAGCTTCTAAAGGATTATTTGCTTCTTCATGGCCTTTCATTTTACGGAGTGATTCCAACACAGCATCGTGAAGTTTAGACAGATAACGTGAATCGCTCACAGATTTCTGATAACAAAAGATTACAAGAGTTACCAGCCCGGCTTACATCGGTATACAACAAAATTGGATGGTAACCACAATAGACTTGTTTTACCAATCTTCAAATCAATTATGATTACATGAGGATAATGAAGATCTAGCAAAAAATCTAGATTTACAATAGGCTTTTCTTCGACATGGTCTAACTGTCACAACAGCATTGCATTGCTTTATTCGGGATGTTCAATGAGGATATTTTCCGTTAATTACTAATGTCAAAAAGGTTTCTGGATGAGGATTTGTAGTTTCATTAGCTTTTTCTTTCGTTAAATTTTAACCCTCACCATTTCAGGCAACACTTCATATTGAGAAAGGGAAACCGCTGACGAGACCAGGAGATTATTTTCAGACTGTATATAAGTTCGCTTTTTCGCACTGACCGTAGATTAATCGAAAAAAAATTATTAAAAAAAAATTAACTGTATATAAATCGAGCTAATTCTCAAAAAGCAAAAGAAGACTTCGACAAGAAAATGGCGAATAAAATGTATTGATCGTTTGATTGATTTCGATAGAAATTGATTTTAAGGAGGCCTTCTTCGCGAGCTGGTTTGATGGTGGATAACGATATGAATTTTTGAGGCTTTAGGTCTCTGATTTTGTACACCAATATTTACAATTGTGTGATCTCTTTCCTAAACTTACATTTCATTTAGTTGGCGCCATGGAGAAGGAAGGTAATAAAAACGAGATTCCACCGCATATCTTTTTTCCATAACAAAACTTAATAATACCCTCAAAGAATGAAAAACACCTAGTCTACATATATTTAATGGCAGGCTGTGCAAAAGTCGCAAAAATGAACTCATTAAGAAGGGTAGAGAACTTAAGCCCGCGATCATCAACCTGCAAGTTCAACTCTCTAACACACTACCATGATAGGTTTACCTCACCCTGTCCAAAATGTTTTATATCAAGCCCATAACATTTCAAGTCATATAACACAAAGTTGTCATTGTTTTTGCCAACGATAAGTAATGATTTACTATATAAAGGACGACATACCAGTTGGCCTTCTTCACTTGAAGGTCTCAGTCGATACTGCCCTTCTTTTCCAGGGACCAAAACCAACTTCAATTTACAGTTTTCAGAGAGATTCCAGCCATCAATGAAGCCACAGTTATTGTTAAATTCATTTCTCATCCCTCTCAGTTTTGCTGTAGCCTGAAATTGAAGTCTTCTTTAGAAATTGTCTAGATCTTTGTGATCGGGAAAACCTATCTGTAGATGACAGGATGTCAAAACCTCCCCTTTTCATTACAGTCCACAGCATGCAAAGATTCTGTTACCAAGCCAAAAAAACGAGCATCACAAGCCTGGGAGTAAGTGCCGCACGAAAAAGAGAAACTTGATGATATCTTTTGATGTAAGCAAACGTTTTTATGGATAATACTTTATAACAAAATGCCCATGATGAGACTAAAAACGTACTCATTGCGATATTGCAGAACTGATATTAAAAAACTACTCACAATTCTTATTCCAATAAGCTGTTTAACTTGCATCCTTTGCTTCTTTGTTCCCTTCGTAATACGCACTTCTCCGTCTTTCCGCGTTACTTCTGCTCCTGTTTCGTTGCTTAACTCACGAAGATTAGCTCCATGCCTACCAATTATTAAACCTGTGTATCCGGATGGAATTTCTACTACCTCAGTATTATTAATCTCTATCTCCTCCTGTGAAGAAATGGTAGAAGTTTTGAGCTTCCATGCAAATAAAATTGAATTTTGATAAATACAGGGAAAGCTTATAAATCCTGATTGATGCCCGCTAGATGAACGGGTCTTTTTTTTCAATTAAACACTGTAAAAATTCCGTCGTAACCTTCTATGTGATTAGAGCGAGGCTTATCCAAGAGTGGATAGTCTTTAGATGTTTTTTTTAACTTACCACCTTTTCCAGAATGAGTTTCCTTGCTATTTCTCTCTGTTCTGCATCCCCGAATATTATAAATCCTTCCTCGTCTCCCTCTGTTGAGGTGATCTTCGCCCTAGAGGTTTGTCTTATCGTATTTAAAACGGCTCCATCCCTTCCAATAACTTGACTTTTGAACTCCCTCGATACTGGCACAAATTCACTCTCCATTGCCAAGACAGCTTACCTCTAATGAGATTCAACTGATCTGAAAATCACAAGTACTCTAATAGGTTGAAAGTTCCTGTAATTTATAATGCTAAGGCAAGCGTGTAGGCCAAGAAAACAATTTACAAACCAACACAAGGCAAGAAAACCGAAGCAAACAAGAATATTATTTAATTATCAAATCTTCAATTGGAGTTATTTCCATCACCAACACTATTCGTCTTTATTATAGTATGAATGATTTAAGTTTTCCGATCATGGTTAAGTTTGATTCTTGATGAGCTTGTCTTATGTGGAATGGACAACAGAAAGGAAAAGAAGTCATCATAAGATCTACGCTGAATTATTACATAGTTCGATCAGCGCCAATAATTTGGGCTGAAACTGAACCAGTGAAAAATTAAGGCTCTTTCAACTTCCTTCTTCCTTCGTTGGTTTCAATATATGACTGCCCTGAAAGCCTTCATGATGAAATGAAGGAATTATGAAATAGGAAAGTAAACTCAACATCGAACATTGAAAATTTACCCTGAACCACAGTAGCCAGCGGAAGAAGATATGTCAAGATACAGTCGACAATTTCAAAATTCAAGCGAATGTGTTTCCACGTAAGTTATATGCCATTTCCGAGTAGAAATTAAGTCAGGGTTTGATAGCATTTTACTTTCTCTTGGAAAGCCAACCATTTCCCTTACTTTGCACCAGGCCGTAAGAAGTCTTAAACAGCTACTGTTCCTAAAAGTAAACAATGTATAGATAAAAACCACCCAGTCGGAGTTTGAGACATTAATCAAGGAAACAAAGCCGGCTAGATCGAAGGACTCAATCTACGCTCCATATGATCTTTACGCTAATATTTCGATTACTCACATAAGAAACACAGGCTTCTCACAATCATCTCATATTTTCTCATTAAGAAGGAATCACTCATATCGGAGAAGTAACTCGTCTATGAGCTTTCGAGAGCTTCCGTGGAAAGCTGATTGCGCAATTACGATATAGGTTCACACGGAGTGAATTACAACATTTCTTATTTTAAGACAACCGATTATCTAATAGCAACTGGTACATTATTCATCTCATAGTCATCAAGTTCGAAGGAATCAAAAATTCAAACTTTTCGAAAGATCAGGCGCTACGTTACAATCATCCATCTACACTTTACGTATCTCAAATAACAAAGAAAGTCTGACTGTCCATCACTAGAGGAGTTTGATAAAATTAATGCATGCCGGCTGCTACTAATTCATATCAAATAGTGCAATAAAAAATAACCTTGATGTCATACCCACTCGTGTATTTCCCTGTTTAAGTCGATTGGGTTTTGTCCTACTTATTAAAGGCGAAATTGAAATTTTGCGACGAAAAGACGATTATATTTGTGTCTTACCATTGCCTCCGCTGATACGTGTAGTTTCCTCTACAAATCGTCTGTTAAAACAGGCTGGAAGAGCCCGTCTTTCGATCGCTTCTAACCACAACCTTTTGTAAATTAGATTAATTGAAAATAGATTTATTTCGAGCCGAGATGTTTGAGAGAATCGAGCGCGTTGCAACCAGAGGTACTTCCGCTGTGGCCGATGTAGTGCTCGGTTAGACAACAATGAGGCCTAGCGATCGCAAGGCATGACGGAACTTTTGCATATTGTTATCACGGAGACTGCTATGTACATGCTTCGGCCTGGATACAAAAATCCCGAAAACTTGCCCAATTTTCAGTCCGGAATAAACATAAATCTCATTTTAGAGAAAGATGTTTTTTCGTCTTGTCTCGAGCGTGGGACAAAGAAAAAGATCTGAATCCCCTTGAGAAATCCAACCTCAGATCTTCGGATTCCGCACTCTAATTCGCTACCATTGAGCCACAGAGACTCCATGGTGAGCACGGCCCATTATGATTTCATATATGACACGCGTCCTGCATACTGCTAGGATTCGAATGTGTGGTTAGCGTCACGTTCTGTAAATAGAACAAGAAAGATGGTAAGTTTGAGTAGTGACTTTTTATAATCTCTAAAAACCTCGAAATTTTCTCAAAAAATTTACCGCAATTTTTTTCTAGAAATGATACCATAATTTGAATAAAACGAGAGATTGCTGTGATGAAATTTCCTGGAAGCCTCTTCAAACTGATTCAGAATTTTTTATTTTTTACTAGACAATGTAAGTGATTCGATAGCTTTCTATCCTTACACATCACTCTTTTAAACAAACAATTGCGACAATAAACAGTTTGCAGAGTTCAACATTTCACGAGCTCGTTTGGAAACAGTGGATTAAGAACCAAGTAAATTTGTTTTCATGTCATCGGCTGCATTTTCACATTGTCGTCTAAAATCTTTAAAACTTCTAAAAATACTCAAATTTCTAAAGCTCCTAAAAAAAAAAAACCGGATTTATGTATCTAGCCCATCTATGCTTTGGGTTATTTTAAATTCACAATAAAAACTTTGTTTTATTTCATGCACTCGAAAACGTTCCACAACTACGTATTAAGAATTAACGTCCGAACAGAGCATTTCAGGCCATAGTGGCTTAAATAGGCATAGATCCGTCAACGACATCGTCATCATTTATCATATTTCAAGCACTGCCCCCGAAACAACCTCCATCATCCATTATAAGTGAATATGTGCATCAGGAGCTCTGACTAATTTCCGGCTAAATTTATATGACTTTCGCTTTTGCAGTTTTATTTGATTAGAATTTTCTGCACTGAAGGGAAACAATGACAGAGGATAAAGATGGAGAAAGGATAAGTCAGATGCTGTATGCTTTATGAACCGTTCAGCATCTTTGCTTGATTGGACGTGCTGCCTGATGGTGACTTAGCTGTATATAATTTCCCCTCAACGGTGAAACACTTTCATGCACCCTCTTATAATTGGGACTCTTAGCTCACAATTATGCCTGTTGCAACAGCATAACTTGGCCAAACATCCTAAATTTCTGCTTTAACGACCAGCAACTCACAAAAGTCCCGAATACCCCCATTTAAGATTTTGAATAACAGGTTGCTTATCAAGACCCTTCCTGCGTTTAGATAAAACCACACACGATGGGTTGGGGAAGGTGGAGGGGAGAGATGCAGAGCCTGTCTTAAATCTTGCATAATCCAGTTAAGGTGGCTTTTTGTTCTGTGATCTTTGTCGCCCTATGATGCTCAAATTCGAATCCCTAAACTCGAACTAGGTAACGAAGAGTTACTTTTCCGTATTTTTTGGTTTAACACACTTAAGTGTATCTTACGTATATCCCACGCCGATGCGTTTTCGAGTCTTGGCTTGAGAAGGGTATAGACACTGAGTGTACCAGGAATTCATGCGGCAACCGACAATACGCGACTCTATACTTTATTCCTTTAAAACCACGATAATTTCTTCACTGTCGACATTACATTTGTAATTTATATGTGCAGATCCGCTATGAGGCCAATTAAGTAAAGAAATGTTACCGCCTCATTCGATTGGTGTTGCTTCATAGAGAAAGGTTATCTGCAATTTCTGTCTTTCATTTGTACTGCTTCCCATCATTCCAAATACCATCCGGAAAGCGTTGCATAGAAACAACATCATTGAATCAAAATCTTCGCAAAATTGCATGGGCCTTTGAAGGGGGACATTGGAAGTTCACGACTAACCGCATTTATTTCTCATGTTTTGTGGATGCTGTTAAAAAAAGGAACTCAGAATCAAATAAGCTAGTGCAACGTATCTTATAATCTTATAAACACTGTGATTCGCTCTTAATGATATTTCCTATTAAAGTTTATTGGACTGCGCATGTCGACGTGCCAAAGACCATACCATAAACGTAGGACAGTTAGAATTCCATAAGTACATGTACGAAATGTATTCTAATTAGTTTTTCATTGTCAAATCAAGGAAGGAAAGTGACCAAAATTAGCTAGGTATAGACTATACGATAAGCTTTTAAGCTTATCTTATACTTAAAACCGTTACACGCATTTTGAGAACTATTCACCAAAGTGGAAGTAGCTAGTGGGGGGAATAAATATAGCCATCGACACCGAGGTGAATAGTTGTTTTAGTATATGCTGAAAGAGTGAGATAAAATAAAGCAAAAAGATAATTATAAATCACCCATTCCTACAGCAATTACGAAATTTTCGGGCGCAAATCCCGCGCGAGTTGCTCGCAAAGGAATATCCAGAATTTCAGTAGCAAATCAGAGCGCATCTTCAACGCTATCCACTATTATATACTTATAGTCTTTAGTGGCCCTCCCCTCCTCACAACCCGTGACGGGTTGGCGCCATGATAACCCCACCGAGAATCGAGGAGTAACAGATCGTTCAGGTCTGCTGTGTCATCAAAATCGATCAAGATTCTTAGATCAGAAGACGGTAAAGCAGCGTCTTCGAATCATTGTCAGTTCTGATGTCGCATTCCTAGTGCGTAACCTTTTCTATTGTTCTGAGAAAAATAAAATTATTCCCGTCCTTTTTCCTCCATCGGAGAGTATTTTCGTACTTAAGTCACTTTACTGGAATCTCTTCTTTCATATCCGGCAGTTTCTTAGCAACAGCGAGAACATCCTTTCGTAGACGCATAACTAGTTGACACTCGACTCACTGCCTGACTTTGTAGTATCTACACAATACAAACCGTACAACTGAGTAACATAGAGTCTCCCTCTTAAAGTTTCATAAACTTAAGCCGCGAGTTCGAGGGGTTCTCTGCCATCGTAAGGTTCATGAGCGTGGGCGCAAAACACAAAACTACTGGAAGATTCTGATTCTGAAATGTACGCTTTACTATTTTCTTGAAAAGAACTCCCTTCAATGATCCGCTATTGTCGCTGCCACTATATTGTCGCTGCCACTATCTACTAATACAGCACTGATCTTGTGATCATGGTTTAAATCCCAAATAATAGTTGTCGAAAGATCACGGGATCTATTCTTTAAGTACTAAATATCACAACAGAAAGGGAGACGGTAAATCGCTGTTGCCCATGATACATGCCAAATACCACGAAGGGAATACAACTGGGGTATCGTAAAACCATGAGCACTTTCCTATTGACACCTATTAGTGATAGGAAATTCGATTGTGCAATTAAAAGCCGTGATTTTCGAGGGAATCGAGATTTAAAGCAACCGGAGAAACTTTCGCCATCACCGATGATAAGCCCGGATGTTAAACGATTATTTCGAACCTTGTACCCAGGGGTTTCTCGGTCAGTTTTCAAGACGGAGGGGGGCCAAAAGAAACCTTCAAAACACACCTCTAAAAGACGACTGCCGATTGGTGCCTTTCTTGCATGACATTTCATTAGTTTAATTCGTTCAAAACGGAGATAACGGCTCTTAAGCGGGCTTACGTTCAGCCAAGGCAGGTCCGTCAGGAAAGCATTAATGTAACAAGCTTCAAATTCAGAGATACTTTTCAAGTTTGGTAATTTATAGCAGTATGTTTTTATGGCTAATACCTGCTGACGTATCACAAATTTGTCCGGTCATAAGATGTGAAATGAAGGATGATATTGAGCCGCCTCCTCCACCACCACTGCTTAGACAAAAGAAGGCCAACTTCGGGGGAGAGGTTCTCATGAAGATACCTCTTCACTTTACAAATGCCTTTTTATCGCGCAAGGTAATTTCTTTTCTTACTTTTTTTTTTGGGGGGGGGGAGGGGAGGGGGGCATCCAATTAATTAGCCTTTGCTATTTAGATGACCCCAACTCGCTCACTATCTAGGTTTTCAGACTTGCTATTTTCTGTTATTTAGAGGGAGGTTTTAAAATTTTTGTCTGCATATTTCTAATTTGTATTTGGCCTAGACTAAACTGAGTTGAAGTCGCAAGTCTCCCTACCAAAATATGACTGCATACGATTTAATGAAAATGTTTTCGTCATTTAATGGTTTGTAAAAAAAAATAGATAATGATTACATTAATAGAAACGAAATATGACAAAGTACAAAATGGAACTGATCCCTCGAAAAAAACTTATCTTGTCCATTATCAAGAAATTAAGAACAGTTTATAATATCTTGCCACTATTTAAAACTTTGGCGTTTGAAATTATCTTAGCAAGAATGTTTAAATAGAAAAAAGAATCTAACAGGGAGAAAGATTAGCTTTTGCTCTATTCTCTAAAAGATATGTCCTCTTACAAGATCTATATATTCCCCGAGTGTGGTTGTTCCTTTCACGGTGTCCAATGCAATAAAAAGGTTTCGTTACAAAAGTCATTAAGTCTCTGAAAAAAATCAAGATCTTAATCGCAGAGACCCGCGAATTTTGGAAGGTAACGCGAGAGTTAATTCTTCCCGCCCCAAATAAACCAAAACAACAACAACAAACGAAAAGGTAACAAACATAGAATTTAAATACAACTTTTGTCTTACGCTTTATTCCGTAAATTTGACTCTGAAATGAAGTGGTGGCATTTCTCTTGCTACATTCATTTGCAGTATAGATGGCACCAAATAACGCTTGTTGTACCCGACACAATTAGCTGAATGTTCCAAAATCGCCTCAAGCTTTCGTGCGCTTTTATCAGAGCAATCAAAGGACTCCAAGCATGTTTAAGGTGATTATCTTCAAGGATCCCCTCTGTTTTGAGTTTTTCTCATAAATAAGCGGGTTCTAATGGAGGGCGGCATTTAACGGAGTAAAATTTGCAATCAGTTCAATTACTTGGTGGTTGAATCAGTTGCTACCGGTTCCTTCAAAGTGGAAGAAAACTACTGGTTTCAAAGAAAGTCGGCAATGACAGGCAGCCCACAGTCTTTCAAAATGTCATAAAGATCTCCCACAGTTATGAGATACTTTTGTGCAGCGAAATTCAAAACTTCCAACACTTGGTTCAACGTGCGCTTGTCCAAAAACCGTATCTCCGCCGGGGTCAGTCCCAGTTTCTCGGCAAATAGCTCCCAATCGTCTCGACCTACAAGAAAAAGCATTGAAATATGTTTAAAACATATTGCCATTTGCCCTTGACCTTTTCCCTTGCAAATTTCTACCGAACACTCGGCTAATGTTTCCGATGCGAGAACATTACTGAACATTTTTTTTTCGTTGGGCACTATTTTTTCCCATAAGACAGATTAGTCATTAAAAAAAAAAAGCAACACAAAGACGAGTACGACTTTTCATTTTTCTCTGTTCTATTTCTCTCACCCCTTTTTCCTCCCCGTCCTGCCCTGTCCTTTTTATGACTTTTCCTTTTCTTCCTTTTTCAGTTTTTACGAAACCATTTTAATTGTAACTAATGAGAATAAAATCATTTGAGTGAACGATAGGTCCACTGGATCCAATAAAGAGACGTTGCTCACAGGCTCCTCAGTGAGGAGAATATCTTCCATCCAGAGAAGGGGGAAGATGTCACTCGTCTAGCCTTATAACGTAAAATGTCTTAATTCTTTGCTACAAAGCCTCACCGCTGAGAGTAACTGTCAACTCTTTTAGCTGAGTCTTTGGAATATTTTGAACAAGGAGTGTGTCGGGCAGCATTGGACCTGGAATGAAGAACAGCAGTATTTATGTAAAGTACATTTGAAAGGCACACCACTGGCTGGTGGTCTGAAACTAAACTTAGAGGGTCTAAATGGGGTTAATCGTTACTGTTGAATAGCAAAATGAATCAGCTGTAAGATGCAAAAGTGGACAAATTTTAACCGCTTCCAAGAGATAATAATCTCTTTATTTTCTCTTGCCTTTAATCATTAAAAAAGATTAACCGCAAAAATGTTTCTTTTACCGGAGCGGAAAGAAATTAACCGTCAAAATTTCAACCGTAAGCCGAGAATGTCATCGCTCTATGGAGACCCTTAACTTACGGATGTGGGTTTAACTTTGCTTAGCAGTTCTGAACGCTTTGGTTTAAATTTCAAATGGCGAAGTTATTTCACTTTATTACAAGCAAAAAAAAAATCAAAACCTTTTTTTTTTTCTGGACATGTTCTACCTAATTTCATGCAGAATACCAAATGAACAATTTTTCCAGGCTTTCTTATGTGTTCTAATTCAGTATGAAAACGTTTCTTAGAATCACTCACCGCCTCAGCTTGCTTACCTGCTGTCCCTGCTGGCATGATTTCTCTTAAAAACTTAACAACGTCAGTCCTGCCACGATTTTTAGCGTCCCTCGTGAGGCAACGGATCCATTTCTCAGTTTCAGGTTTTGGATCTTTCAGTGAGGTATCATCAAGTTGTAGATTGTGAAGCAATTTATCTACAACCTCTTTTGGGGCGTCTGATGTTAACTGGAGAGATTCGCTAACTTTGTGAGGCAAAAGGAGAGATTTGTATCCATTCCCTAAAATATCGAAAAACAGCGACAGCGATAGACAAAATGAGCCACAAAAAATAAATCTAACATTATCCTGTCCACTGTGAAAACAGGTTTTGCCTTCACAAATAAACGGACGGACGGGGACAACTCTTAAAAACTCCTTCTGGGTAAAGGCTTTCCTTGGGGGCACTCGCTGGCTGTGGGAAGGACCGGAATCTATTACGGCTGCTGACTATCCTTGAGACAATGACTAACAACAACAGGGTTGGCTCCAACGTAGATTTATTCTGCAAACTCTACTACAATTTTAACCAGAACTGACCTGGCCAGAGCTGGTTTGACCCCCTCTCTCTTTTCTCTCGTTTCGTCTCTCTCTTCTTTTAAGCTTTACAAAACAGTTCTATTTAAGCCTAACGTACATGGATAAGGTAATGCCATGAATAATCTAAAGAATCATGTAATCTACTACACTATTGGCTAAGTAGGAATTTCGCCTTTTACAACATTAATTACCTTCAAAGAGTTCCGGTGGATAACAATTACACAAAAGGACATGACAGGTGGCTGTTACAGTTTAACACTAATAACAACTGTTTACGGGTGACTGAAGGAGAACTGGTAGCGTTTACGCTTTGCTGAACTAAGCTTTCTACGTTGAATTTTATATATTTCAAGCGCTAGCATGAAAGAACTCGATAACTAAAAAATCCTATCGTTACACCACGACCGAAAAAGTTAATGAACTTGGGGGGAAAAGGGGCAACCTGATACAGAGATGGAAGGAACACTATGAATGATCGGCAACGGGGGGGTAATGCACGTTTCACCAAACTTAAAATCAACCAAAATCAAAATGGTAAAGAAAAAAAACCAAGTTACCTTGTGAAAAAGGAACCTGCTTCCCGTCGCTCTCCTGAGAAGCACCTCGAAGTGAATGGGAAGCATTTAGGTGATTTCCAGCGGATGTCTGAATTTGGCAATTTCCTGCAAGAGTGTTGCAAGTGAAGGCGTTATGCTGACTAACGGCTCCCATTAAGTTAACGGAAGTACCTTCGAATGCGCTGATGGTGAATTAAATTTATAACCGAAAAAAGATCAATGGACACGAACTTTGTGCAAAAGGAACCAGTTTTCCGTGTTGGAGAGTCGTGGAAGTGTGATCTAAGATGCTGTGATTAGCTGTGTTGTGATTTGTGAGCCTGTGTGATAGATACTGCTTAAAAGCCTTTTCTCCGTAGCCACAGCTCAGATCCATTTCTTATTTAAAGGGTCTTTCTACGTCCGGATAGATAGTGTAACTATGGGCTCCCCCTCCCTCCTTGTATTTTGTACAAATCAGAACTGAAGATGACAGACGAACTGTCAAAACATGTTTTTAAAAAATGTCGCATATTTTCTTAAATTCGTAACACTGAAGTGCTTTTCGTTGGGTGGCAACTACTACAGAAAAACAAATAGCGTATCTAGGGGGACTAAAATGGGACCGAGCTACGCCAATCTTTTCGTAGGTTTATCGAACACCAATTTTTCAGTCAATACCACGGCCCTAAACCTGAACTCTAAGGTCGTTACATTGACGACTGCATCGGCGCTACCTCCTCTACCAGAGAGGAGCTCACTTAATTTATAATCGCCGTCAATGCCATTCAGTTGACTCTGAAATATACCTGGGAAATTTCCGACACTTCTTTGGCTCTTCTAGACATCAAAATTTCAATTGGAGGCAACGGTCTATGGACTAGTGTTTACTACAAACCTACAGATTCACACTGTTACTTGTATTCATCTTCGCATCCATCACACGCCAAGAATTCCATACCCTTTTCATAGCTCTCTGGTGGGTTAATGGAAAGCTGCATTCGGGCATACTGTGAGTAAACGGGCTTATCAAAGATTATTAGATTAAAACAATTTTATTTACAAGAAACAAAAAAATTTGGAAACTAGCCTGTTGAGAAAGGATCTAGCATCCTTTCCACCTCACTGCTGGCAGGTGGTTGTGGCCGAAGAGCTGTTATAGCTTCGGAAAGTAACTCAGTTGACATCTCCTCTTCTCCATCTAAGACACAAATTACATATCAATAAATACAAATTAATATACGAGTGATTTAGCGAAGCATGTAGATACCGAACAACACAAGGGAGCGCAGAAAGTAACATCAATGATAATGGAGACAGATTGATGCATCGAATGCAATTAAGATATAAAAACAGTGGCTTACCTTTCACGATGGATAGAAGGGTCTCATCACGTTGATAAGTCACCACCTGCAGGTGAATCAGGTGAGTCGTTAAAAGTAACGAATGGTATTTTAAAGAAATTATGCGAAATGAGCATGAATGAATCTAGGCGAAGAATAGCTCAAGACATTTAGTTAATCTTGTATCTCGTGTGAAACAAACATCAACTAATTTTCTAAGAACCAGCTATTTCTCCAAGAGTCACTTGAAAATTTAAATACTAGTTTGTTTCGAAGTTTTGCCGTCCAAACCTGATAGTTACTATACATAATAACTATTTCTTTCTTTAGGCTGGAAAAAGTACGCATGTCAGGTTTTGAATTACGATTAAACCTTACAATCTAATTGCCCTCAAGATAATTCTGGCCATAAATGTAAAAGATAAGGGAACTATCTTTCTGACCTTTTCCTCGCTGGGAGAAATCCAGAGAGAAAATTCCTCGGCCTGAATTCGGTTATCCCGAGCGGTTGCAGATTTTGTGCAAAAGACCTGTTCCTTTTTATTTCCTAAATCTGACTCTGAAAGGAAGTGGAGGCATTCCTCTTTCTTACAATGTTCTTCATTATGTTGTGTGCAGAAGCTGACCGCGCGTCCATGGGAGCAGATCGGACATAGGAAACATACCTTACATGCAACATTCTTCACCCAGAAGAACTTGTTCCTAACGCAATCTATCATCAAAGTTAGCTGGCCACGAAAGGCTTTAATTAAGGCAACATCAGACGTACCAATTTCACTATTTGCGTTGAGGACAATGACCTCAATTGCAGAGGAATGGCAAAGGAGAGCAATCGAGAGGCCTTGGTTTGGGAAGATGTGAAATCTAGCAAAATTGTTATAAAATTGGGGAGAAGCTGCGCGACGAAATTCTTTTCTACTCCAAAGAAAGAATTCCAGCACAAATCTGGGAAATAAACCTAGGGGGACCTGACCTGTATCAAATTTAAGAAAAAGGGATGGAAGTTTTGCAGATTCAACGAGGTCACTAATCATTTTTGGCGGGTGCGTCTGCGTCATAGATGGCACCAGATAATGCTTGTTGTGCGAGTCTTGTGACGATGGCCAAGGACACAACAAGCTGAATTTCTCCATTATTGCGATAAGGCTTTCGTGAGTTTCTGTCTCAGGGATCAAAGAATTCCAAACATGTTTGAGGAGCTTTTCTTCCAGGATTCCCTCTTTTTCCAGTTTGAGCCAAAGACCATCAAAGTCTTCCTCTTTCGAGTTGTAAGGCCTGACAGTTATTACATTCTTGAATATATCAATCAACCATTGGGTATCCAAGATAACTAAATCACTCAATTCCGGAGTGTCATCGAAGTGGATCAAAACTCGCAGATCGTGCAAAAAGTTTAACAATGTTAATATCTCATCGTTTTTGTTTATGTTGCAAACGTCGGAAGCAATCTTTTTCGCGGTTGCGAGGGAGATGAATTTTCGACCAGTTTCCTTGATCACACGAAGGGCATTTTCGTATTTCAACCACTTGATCGGAATAGCCTCATTTAGATGTGGTAACTCCTTAGCAAATTCATGAACCTTCTCTCGCAATCGCATGATCTCTTGACATTTTGATTCAGAGCCTGACTTGGTGTTATCAACACAAAACACGTCAAACAACTGGCAACCATATGGTTTGGTTTTCAAATCACCAAAAATTTCTTTGGCAAGTGCAAAAGGATCGCGATTACAATATGGTTTATCAGCATGAGTGCACACCAAGAAAACAACTGGAGGATTCTTCGGAAGCACCTTCCTGGCGGGGCTCACGTGTGGGCGATTACTCTGTTCCACTAAGGAGGCCAAAGAACTCATCCAAAACTCTAAGTAATCCAAATTCGTTTTCAGATTATATTTATCTTCAATTTTTCCATAAACTCCTTGCTTCACCGGGGGTATAGCTTTGTCGCTTGGATTCCTACTTAAGTCATAGACCAAAAAGTAGATTGCTCTTCTTGTGAGAAAGAGTGGGTGTGTCACGTAATATACAGACTGTCCAGCAAAGTCCCACGTAATTGAGTAAATATCCTCTCTATCGCCTTGCAACTCATCTTGAAGGATCTGTTGAATTAACTTAGCAATGTCTTCAAATTCCGGCATTTTTCCAAACGTGCTGTTGAGTACATCTTCATCGTGCTCCGTTGGAGGTAGATTATGTTCTTCTCTCGTTGGTAAAGAAGGTTCCTCGTGCGAAGAATGAGTGTATGCTGGATTTTTAGGCAACTCTGAAGGGTCTCTGTAACTTAAAATCTTACTGAGGTATCCTCCCTCTAAGGTGTTAATTTCTTCAAAGTCATAATGTTCTGACATGGTACTACCTGCTTCTGTAGCTTCAGTAACGTTTTCTTTCGCCGTTAATTTATCTGCAATCCACCGAGCTGCACTATGCTCAAAAGAGATTGATGCCTCATCAACTTTTTCGCCTTGGTCCTTTGTCATCCCTATTTCAGTGGTTACTTTGAATTCATAGGTATCGACATCGATGCCCACGGTGCTATCCTCGTCCGGGTTGAAACAAATTCCTTTCAAGGACTTCTTCACGCTAGTCTTTCCTGACCGATCTTGTCCAACTAACATCAACGGTACTCTCTTCACACGAGTTTGACCTTCGGCCAGTGCACTGTTATAGGCTTCTAAAGCTTGAGGACCACGAGCGCGAATCTCTGGAGGAACTGTAAATGTGACGCACATTATTTAATCTCAATAAGCAAGATCGAATTAAAAGGGAATCAAACAAACAAGGAATAGATGACATGTAAATAAACAAAACTGAATAAACAACCAATCAATCGAGTTTTATTTTTAACGCAAAAAAGGGTATATCTCTTCTAATACATAAAATCGATCAGGTGAGGGGGAGAAATTAAAATTTGACGACTTTGTAAACAGGCATGTAGGCGTGTTCCCAGCGCATTTTTACTTAAATTGGCAATATGTATAGAAAACATATCCATTTTTAAAGCGTTCTTCGTCAAAACCACTTAACTTCTAATAAATTGGCCACGTTGAATGTATCCGACGTTAGAAAAAGAAGAAAATGCGGTAGGGATAACAACTCATGCCGATTTATTACAAGTACACAAAGGATGTGTTTTCTCACCTGTTCTTGTGGATCCATTTCCTTTCATCTCCCGTACAACAAAGTCTTGAATTTCCTTTACAAATTGAATAAATTCGGGCAGTTTCTGAACTATGATTTCCGGTTGCCAATCTGTGCCATTTAGAAGTTTGTCGCACTCTTCGCTATGTAAGTGGAGGTCAGTCTGCCCATTTCCACAAGAAAAAGAGAAAATTAGAAAGACTAGAAATTGAGTTGTTTTGCTCAACATACCGATCATTTCTTATACAACTATGCGATTTGCAACCGTTAAACATTCATTATTACCGATTCTCTGCTTCTTTCATTCCCTAAGAAGTCAATGGACCATGAATCCTCCTGAGAAAGTATGGCAAAGAATCCTTCACGCGTGCTGTACATTTTTCGCTTGCAACATCGCTTACGGAGTAGGTGGAATCCTTCAGGCAAATCGTGATCTGGAAGAAGTAATCCGAAGGCATCCTTATCTTTCAAAGTTAGTCGAGAAAGGTATGTAGACAAAGCACGTCTCACTTCGATTTCGGGTACGTCTCCTCTGATAGCAGTACGATCTGTAGCCAGACAAATTTGACATAAAAGTGTGAACAGGAATCAATGAAATCGACCTATTTTAGTGAAATATTTATATTGAACGGATGCATGTTTAAACTCTGCTGCAAACGCTTCAGTAATTATTTAGCACTTGGACTTGGATATCCATCGGGGTAAAGGGACCCTTCAGCCAGAATAGGCGGAGACTTTACTGTCCAACTAAAAGTGGTATTTGAAAAAGACAGATTTGAACGGTAAGTAAAAAGAGAAGTTGTTACTCTTTCTTCTCCAAGAGAAACTAAGCAACAGAAGTGATGGAACATGACACGTGACCGCCAAACACATTTCGCTAAATTTAAAAGTTTTACTGAGAATTTAGTCGTGGATGGGTGAGAAGGGAGAGGAGAGAAGGAGGGAGACAGTAAGTGAAAAATGAAAAATGAAACGAGAAGTGTGTTTTACAACGACAAAAACCAAACAAAAATTGTTAGTCTTACCTCTTCGCTCACGTATGGTGAACCTGCAGTCTAGCTCGCAGCCGGGGAAAAGAATGTCGGTCTGAAAATATTTTCGAGATTTAAGTACCAGCCATCCACGACAACGTGATTGCGTTGTTTCATCTTCAAATTGAATCTCTTCCAATACATTCTTCACGTCACTAAAAGGGATTGGTATATCTTCAAGCTTTTTCTTTACGCTACTCTTCGTCACCCACACCTGTTTAATAAGGAAGAAAAACACAGAACTTGAAGCGTAAGCCTCTACCTGGATGGTATTCCTAACATTGTGAGTTCACTTTTCGGCAAACGACGCACTTTGGAAGAGTTTATGTAAGTCGACAAAACGGAGCGAAACTTCAACAAAGGGGAATTTCTTCTTTGATATACGTGTGCCACGGAGGGGAAATCAAAGGAATTAAAAGCAAACAACATTCAACGTGAAAAAGAAACAGACGAGCGTAACACACTCGTCGGTTGTAAAGAGGAAGAAATTTTTTCGCGCTCACCTTACATCTAAGTTGATAAAAACAAGGCGTCAAATATGTTAGGTCATATCTGGAGACGTATTCATTATCTTCAGTGATCTCTTTGAGGCCAGTTCTTTTAAAGATGTCCTCAGGAATGTCATCTCGCTCTCTAAAAGAAACTTTCCAAAGCATTTTTTCTCCAGCATCAGGCCTTTGAAAATGTTCAGTTATCTCTTCGACGTCCCATGTTTTTTGGACAACATTCTCTGTAAAAAAAAAAAAAAAGGAAGAGAACTATAAATACATAAATATGCTGAAAAATGCATTGTACCTTGTGCATTGTATGTATTGCATTGTAAATGCATTGTAAAAGTGCATTGTAAAAAGATTGTACCTCTTCAAGAGGTACGTCAGGTTAGCGAGCAAGGTGAATTATGACTTAGAACAGTTTTTTATGCGAGGCTAAGTACAAGAAGGTAAAAGAGGCGATGAAATACCTTGGAGAGGAAAAAGGAGAAACAGCGAAGATCCACAAGAAAAAGAATATGTAAAGGGCACAAAAGTTTTCAACGAGTAAGACACTTTGTCAATTATTATTCATTGATGCAAAATATTCAAACCAGAATGGATATTACCTTCATCAGGTACTCTAATAATACAAGTTCCCAGATGACACCACATATCAGCCTTCGGACTCTCATCTGTCTCTCTGTTCTCTTTAATCTTCCGTAATGACATCAAAACTTCGTCTTTAAGATTGGATTGGTACACGGGGTCATTCCGATCATGGTACGAATTCTGCACAGATACTCATATAAGTACTGTATAAAGATTGCCATAGAATTCTAGCTCTCGAGTAAAAAATTTAGTGTCAACTAAAAGCAGATGGGCTTATAACGAAACTTGACAAGTATATAGAGATATATTCAAATTTTGTCAAAAGCGACGAATGGTTAAAACATCTACGTCACCCGTAAGTATTCCAATCACAGACAACCTAATTTTGCGGTTGTCAAAAAATGCTTGATCACGGTGTGTACGAGCTCAACCAAGCTTAAAATTATAAAAATGTACCAGTTGTCAAATGTGTTCAGTTCTTGTTTAATTTGACAAACAAGGCCCGTCACTGTGGAAATGCAACTTGAAACCTAGCTAAATTTGAAGGATTTGTCGCAGGCCTATGTTTTCGACTGCGCTGTCTTTTCAAAAGCATGATTACGACGCAACTCAATGCATTCCAAAATTCTTGTTCATCACCATATTACGCAAAAAGAAGAATGTGTCAACTCGTGTCCATTACCATAGCAAAAGGAAACCAAGAGCAATACCTCTCTTTCACAGTGCTCAGCTGGTTCGAGTCGATATTGCGTTTGAAGCCCTGGTAGTGGCATGCGATCCTCTTCTTGCACCTCCTCAAGCTTAAGTTTACAGTTCTCAGGAAGATGACGACCATCGACGTAAGAACAAGCTTTGCAAAATTCTTTTTCAAAATCCTTTAGTCTTGCTCCAGCCTGGAAGTTTTAAAGGCAACGTAATCAAAAGAAAGATGGTTCTATCGTACACAACACATCACCAATTACCGGTTAAGCCACACAAGTCTGGTAATCAGGTCGCAATTGTTCTCTGGCAATTTAAAATGACCAAATCTCAAGAAATTAAGCAACAGAGGCTATTACAGACTCTACTAAGTAAGTAAGCCACAATTTTCAGAGGGATTGCGATGGGACAGGTCGACTAAACTAACCAAATACCAATGATACCACAGAAGAGTTTGAAAGATATCTCGTTAATAGTAACGTGATGATTATCTATCAGAAAGCCAGACTTCCTTGTGCAATATTCTTATAGACTTCCTTGTACAATATCCAGTCTTCCTGTCGGCTGGGTGTGGGTAGCTACTATCAAAAAATGTATGTATCTATACAACGTACATTTGTGTTATCTTTATAAATTTGCTGTACCTGATCTGAGAAAAATCAATAGTGCAACGCTCTCTTTCTGTTTAAATCTTATCTAACTAGATCTGAATTTTAGCGATCAAAAAAGGGATAGTCTCGATCAAGTATGGGTATCACGCACAGAAAATATTTCCAACAGTTATAAAGCGATCTCGCTCTGTGATTAAGAGTCAATTTGTAAATTTAAACATACCACAATTGTTCCAATGTTCCTTTTCGCATGTCGCCGTTGCTGTTGTGTTCTATAGACTATGTATACTTCTCCATCCTCCACGAAAAGTTTTACCCCTGTTTGGGTCTCTATCTTGCGTAAAGTACAACTTTGTTTTCCAGCCACTCTACCTTTGTATCTGTCCGGAATTTCTACCAGTTCTCCCTTTCTATTATCCAACTATTAAAAGGAACTGATGGTCAATTAAGTCCTCATATTATACATTAAAAGAGTTTTGAATAAGCAATTCTACTGTTGGCATACATCATTTACGTTTTAATGTTTGACGGGTGCATGTGTCTCTCCGAACACTGAGGGTGAAAATGAGGGTTTTTTAACACAAGCAAAGCAAGTCTTAAAAGACTTGCAGGTAATTTAGTGTTAACAACTGGGTTGAAAACGTAAATTAGCCACCGTAAAGAGTAAAAAAGCTGACGTTTCGAGCGTTAGCCCTTCGTCAGTCGAAACGTCAGCTTTTTTACTCTTTACGGTGGCTAATTTACGTTTTCAACCCAGTTGTTAACACTAAATTACCTGTTATACTCTCCCACCGACGCAGCACCACAGTTTCTTTAGAAACTTACCCCTTTACTTAAAAGACTTGCTTTGCTTTTATCAGTATCTTTTAAAACCCTGAGTAAATGAGTCTCCCGCAAAAGAATATAGCTTTAGTCTTAAAGTTTACCAAATTTGTAACTAACCAATTTTTCTGAAATAGGCTGACTTGCTATTTCTTGTTCCTCCGGGCGTCTAATGGCTGTAAACCCTGCAACAAATCTGCTCTCATTGGTGACTTCAGATCTCGTCATCATATCACTTATAATACTTCGATTCCTGCTGGTACAAACTCCCATTCCATTGCCCAGGTCTGTACCTGCTTGGTTTCAACTAGATATGAATGAAAAGAACCAAGCAGCTGTATTAAAATAAAATCATCGCTTCCTTTTGTTAAGGTCAATACATTTTTTTGCCTAGTGTTTAAGTCTTTCCCACCTGGTCATCATCATGGCGTTTTATTTGTCTTTTTTTGCTGATCTGTACTACCTCTACAAATAAATTCTTTGAATGATTATTTTCATTCTCACTATCTTATCTTTTGACCTTTAAATTTTTTATTACGTATTAGAACACTACATACCACAATACTATCACCCTGCTACACAAAAATATTATTAGTTTTCAAATTTTATTGCGACATCCAAGGCTCGCATTTGATTAGCTATCTGTGAGTTTCTTTGATTATTGACCAATCAAAATGTCTGGTTTGTTACTTTCTTTGCACTGAATTAACCCTCTTCTGCACTGGATTAACTCTCTTCTGCACTGAATTACCTGAAAACTGCATTTATCTTAACCAATCAGAACTGAGTAATTTTTTCATGTATATTATTAAAAAGAAAATAATAAGAAAATTAAACAGCGAACTTACAATTTCCATTGTCTCATAATATGAAAGAAACGTTTTTGTTATTGCGAGGTTTGATCGTGAAGTGTACTTGTACTCAATTCTCGATACTAACATTGCGCGATTTTGCGAATGCTTTACATTTCTAATCACTAAAATTAGCGCCTTTGAGCGAGGCGCTTTAGTTTGCGTTAAGGTGACCCTCATTTAAATGACGTCAAATTCCACAAAAACACATTGGCTGGACTCGTAGCGGGGCTCGCAGCGTAGTAGTAACCCATCAAGCCCAGAAAATTTTGTTTGGTGTTAGACCCAATCTCAAGCTCAGGGTGAGAATGGTTTAATTCAATGTTTTCGTTGATAGGAACACATCAAACTCCAAACAAGAAGTGTGATTTACGGTAGGGATCGATCGCGCCGGAAATAGAGCATTAACAACGATAAATTTGAATTATATTTATTGTTGTTACTGTTGTTGCTTTTGTTTTTTTTGCGTGGAAGTTTTCACTTGTAAACTGCCTTATAGTCGATGCATCAGAAAACATCCAACCAAAGCTGCTGCGTGCTGCAATGGCGGGAAACTGATCTTCACGGAACGATGGATTGCTGTCGTTGTCGTCAAAGACGTACAAGTATTACTAAATCATTAAATAAATTTGTTTTGAGTGAAAGCAGAAAAGAAGGCATTAAAGAGGCCGTGCAAGCGTACGGAAATGTATTAGAGGGTCTCAATGGGGTTAACCGTTAGCCGTAAAACGGCCAAAATATTTAGCCGTTAGACGTAAAAATTGACAAATTTTAACCGTTAGTCGTAAAAAAAGTTAACCATAAAAAATATGTCTGGTGGAAACAATAGAAAGGTGTTAAACCGTTAGCCGGAAATTGGCCAAAATTTTAACCGATAGCCGTAAAAGCCATCACCTCATTGAGACCCTCGCATTAGTGTAAAAGAATTCGACATCGGAATAGCATAGTATTCAGTATAAGAGCAGAAATAGAGAAGCCTAAATATGTAAGGAAATCGCGGTTCTGTTCTCAAGAAAACAGAAATGAGGTCTGTCGCCATCCAAAGCCCTTCCCAGGCCACAGTTTCACTATCCGCTTTACCGCAAGTAAACCACTAAAAAGATCCATTATACCCACGTCTCGGGTACTCCGAGAAGACACCCCTGATGGATACACAAAGATAATCCTTTGATATTTATCTAAGAATCTTGCAACACATTAACTCCTCCTATTCTATCACCTATACTTCAACCCTTTAACTCCTAAGAGTGACTGGCATCTAATTTCTCTTTACAATGTCACTCCTAAATCAAACATTAAGGTCATGAGAATAAGGGAAATGATCAACAACTAGAGAACTCTTCTCTGTTATGCAAATTCTCCTTTCCAGAACCTTAAGAAATGTATAGAGAACAGTATGGAGAATATGCATACTGATGTTAAGGTGTAAACGGTTGAAACTAATTTAACCAAGCAATCAACAGGGATTGAAATACTTGAGAAGGCTGACCATAGAAATCCTGAGGTCTTCAAGTTTGAGGGTGTTATATGATGCTATATTTACAACTGGTTAGTCATAAACATGTGTGTCATTCAAAACTCCACGTCAATATGTTTTTGTCCAATTTACTATAATCAGAAGCATTCAATAGAGTTTAATTCATTCACAATGAAATATTTACCAATATATGGAGAGTTACATTCTGTTTTATATTTTATTGACAGAATATGCAAATACGGAATTAAAAAAGGATGAAGTACATATGCTATGGATTGCATTGCAGACAAGCCTTCAGGCTACAAAAGCAAAATTTACTATGCTGTTAACTACTTGAAGAGTCAAAGCTTGTGCCAAAAATCAGTTTCTAGAGGAGATTGATGAACAGTGCAGAAGCCTATGTGTATAGAAACCTTAAACTGCTGGCTTAAAAAACAACGAACCTCTAGCTTAATTTAGCAAACTGAATCATGTAAAAGAATGGAGCTATATTAAATTAAACTCAAAGCTTGTGATGTTTTCAAGGTTCAAATTACATAATATGTTTCTCTTTTTCTCTTGATCTTTAGCCGGGAGGGATGAGGGTATTTGATTCATATGCATGTGTTTTCAAGAAATAGAATGTTGCAAAATATAATACATCAAATAAAAATTTTTATTTTGGTCTACTAAAACTATTTTTGAACAAGTACATAGTACAATAGTTGTAAAATAAGTTTATTCTCGCTTGAAATAATGACAATTGAAAATACATTTCAAAGGGACAAAAGACAATTTGTGAAACTGGAAAAAAAACAAAGCAGTATAAAAAGAAACTTGTTTAGCATGTCTTCATTGTTAAGTGGATCAAGGAAAATTTAGGAAAGTCCACCATAACTAACTAGCTTACAATCGATTTACCCCGCGCGGGAACCTAAAAACAGCGTAAAAGCTGCATAAAACGCCATCACTAATCCCTTTTTCTTTCACTTCCAAACTTCCAGGACCACTAGATGGCACACTGGAAAAAATTCAGTTTTTTCTTTTGGTTATTAAATTCCACTTTCGATTAATTACGGTGATTTTTAAGTTCACGTACACTGAAGTAATTTACCTTCTTCTCTTCCTCTGCTGGCGAAGCGAACCGTGTGCTCTATATGTTCTGGGTTTTAGTACACAATTTTTTCATTCAAGTACAGTTTTTTAGCATTCATGAGTCTGTACCTTTGCTGGATATTTTCTGTTGAATTCTTTGAGTTACACCCTCGGAATTCTTAAGTGATTACGGAGGATAAATTCGTATCGGCACCATTATTTTTAAATCTGATCAGTTTACAATTGTAACCTGCTTGGATATTTTCTTTTGAATTAATTGAGTTACACCCTCGGAATTTTAATGTGATTAAGAACGGTAAATCCTTATATGTACCACAAATACAGCACATTTCAACCTCTCCATACAATTTTACGAAAACAATGGTTTATTAAATGTTGACTCTTAATTGTTTGGCATAACTTGTTGATTATTTGATTATTTTGTGGCACCCAAAGCCACTTATGACTCTGGAGTTACTGACCTTGATATATTTGATCTCCTTCAAGGGGGAAGGATTGAATAAAATTGCTTACACTTACTCAAAGCCTCTTTTATATGTCTGTACATGGAGATAATTTCATATGTAATTCATTTCGTAGCTGTATTCAAAAGCATAGACATGAAGGAAATACTTTTCTTTGAAAGCGGAGAGACAGAAGTTTTCAAAGCTACCAGAGATAAGGATGTGAATTCTTTAAATCCTCTCATGATTCTTACGGCAAACAATACCGGTAAATTTTACTACAATTTCAAGCTGTCAATTGATATGAAAACTTCACTTGGATTGTTATCAGCTTCTACGAAGAATTCCCAAAAGAATCTGTTTGCAAGTAAATAAAAAGCAAATTGACGATCATGCCTCATCATATAATGTTATTTAGATTGCATTAAATACTCTTACCCAAGCTTTCAATAGAGCGTAGTGTTCTAACAAATGCTCATACCCAAACTGAACATTGGTATAAGGAATGGCCATAACATATGTGAGTTTTAAAGGATGGGAATCTTGAAAAGGGAGGATCTTCTTTTAATTAGGACCGAAATTAATGGGCACCTACTATTTTAATTCATGTGTTTTCTTTGACCTGCCTCCACCTCTTTTCTGTTTAGGGGCACATAGATGAAGATTACCTTTTTTGTATTTTGACGCATGGGAGCCCAATTCCACACAATTTCTGAATTTTTTCCTCCCAAAAAATAACTAAGGCAAATTAGAATTATTCAAAATTCTCACCAGAACTCTTCTAGTTGCATCTATTTTTATGATTTGATGCCAAAAAATACGCATCATAGTGACTTTATATTAACTGGCATCTGTGTACTGTTTTGTTTAAGGATGACAAAATAAATGCCTTAACTTCATAGGTTGAAAAGTCAAAATAATAGAATTGTGCATACCGTATCCGACTTTATATCCTCCTCTAGATACTGCACAAGTAAGCTAGTCATTGTCAGTCTTATACACTCTCACTGTCCACTGAGCTTTTGGACAAATGATAACCTCCATATTTTTAAATGAAGAAAGGAAACCCCGCCCTCTTACAGCAGATAGTTCTTTTGTGCATGAGCAAATTGCTATTTGTAAAGCACTGTCTCGAAAATTAAAATTCGATGACAAACCCAGGGCTCTGGTTTGTTACCAATTTTTCTCATTATTTTCTTGTAAATGAAGGTAACTTTTTGCATTATGGGTATTAACCTGGTTTAATATGTACTTGAAGGTTATCGTTTCAGGAAGGCCAACATTTATAAATTAGTACATGAAATTGTTTTGAATCAGAAGAAATGTGCATGCTTATGTGTGTTTTCAACACTAAAACAGTGA